TGGCCAAATCACCCAAATCAGGCTTTTATATTTTTTGGAATGTTAAACTAAGCCCTAGTTCACATCAATGCGACTCGCCACTGTGAAGTTGCATCCAATGTATGTGTATGGCCCCGCTCTAATATACTCACTCAAGACCCTATCTCAAGACAGAACCAGAGTGTTGCAATAGCAAAGGGTATGTCAACCCTAGCATTTCTTAGACTTCAATGATTGCACCTACTTGGTGAAACTCCCCTTACCCTGTCCACAAGGCTACTTAACCAACCATCTACCCTCACTGCTTTATCCAGACCTGGTGTCAGCACACAGTAGCAAAATAAAATCAGCCAGTGACAGCTCCTCTGGGCTGGGCATTCAGCAGTGGACTAAAGCCCCAAATTATAAAAGCTACTCTGTTACAAAAACTGAAAGAGAAGAAGTTGTACTGATCAGATGGTAATGAGTTGGTAGTTACACAGAAAAGAACCAGATGGCAAAAAAATTAATTTTACCTTGGAACCTGAAATGTACCAGCCTGGAGAACCAATGCTCGTTTTTCAGTAGATTGATAAATATTTGGCTGAAATGTTTGCATTACAAGAGACTCACTGAATGGGCCAATGAGTACCAGCACCTGCTTTCACGGACGTAGGAAGATACAAATTGTGGGCACAGATTTTGGGGTTAAAAAACAAAACAAAACAAAAAAAAAAAAAAACTTACCTAGTGATTGGTTTAAATAAATCATCCCATGAAACTGTGCCCTGATTAAAGGTGGGGATTCTTGGTCTACCCTACAACTACTATCCATGTTCCTATAGAGGTATTTGAAAAAGAAATAGAACTCTATGGTCTGCTAAAATAAAATCATTTACATAAAAAACTATGATCGGCTCTATGCAACTCTGAATAAAATAGAATGTAGGATTGATGAAATATGCCTGAATAACATAATACATGATGATGAAATATGCCAGATAGAAGCTATCTAGGAGTGGCTGTAGTAATCAAGAAGCGACATGACAACTGGTGGATTACAGCAATGACAACTGTGTGATTCATAAATAGGAGTGTAATAATAAATACATCTATTTTGTTAAGCCAATACATGCACCAAATTAAAGTGCCTTCAATATATGAGATAAAAGTTATTGGTTAGCCAACTCGTTCTATCTCAGTTCCTTTTTCCTCTCTCGCCTCAGCTTCTCCCTTAATCTGCACCAATAAAAACAGCTTGTTTATGCACAAAACCAAGCTATGCAGTGGAATAATGTACTTATAGGACGTCTTGGGGTGAGCTCTTGCCAAAATGTGCGTTTATACACCGCATATCTATACATTAAAGCAGACTTCATTAGAAACCACTGCCATGTTTTCCCTGTCTTTGAAAACATATACTTTGTATTTATATACGTAAACTGAGACATATTTACTCACTACATGTGCAGGTTTTGCTTCCTGCTTAGTACTTCAGTAATCCTCACAACGCAAGTCCAAGGGTTGGTCAGTCAACCCACTTAAGACAATGTAATGCCTTTGAGGCAGGTACTTATTTTACATATTGCTAAAGAGGAAGATGAAGTAACTACAGGAAAATACGAAAGGGCTAAACTACAAATCTCTGCAATTATTACATTGGCAAAATGTAAAAAAGTCACATAAACACTAACTAAAAAGGAATACATGATGTTCCTGTGTATAGTGCTACAGAAGGGGTTAATGGGGATTAAGCTGGATGTGAAATGGCTAAGGCATATATATATATAAAAAAAAAAAGTCTATTTTTGTCTAGCATCATCTCTTACTCTATACAGTTTTCTTACACAAAATGGGATTTTTGTACTCACATTAAAATCACAGAAGTCTAAATCCTTGGCGTTATACTGCCGCCTACAGGAGAATTGGACACCAGCAAATGAAAAAATCACCTATAAAGCCAGGCCAGGGTATAACCTCTCCTACTACCTGCACGCCTCAGTATCAACAGCATGTTCATAAATAGATGGGGGGGTCCTCAATGGATTCCAGGAAAAGGAATTTCTTTTTGGAGAACTGGGGCCAGGCAGAGGGATGGAAAAACAATTTCCTGATCGAGGGAGAAACACAAGACTACCTTTGTGCAAGACCAAAAAGGGCTCCTTGAATGATAAAACCATCAGCTCAAAACACTCATCTAGCTGAGGTGATGGCCACATAAAATATTACCTTGTGGCATAAAGACAGAAAGGTCTCCAATAGGTTCAAATTGGGGCTTCTGAAGTGACAAAAGAATTGACATTCAAATCCCACTAAGACAAAGGGGATTGGACTGGGGGGACAGGGGAATCACACTGTAGACCCCCCTGGACAAAGGTTTTAATCAGAGAGTTGGAAGCCAATGGTGTCTGAAACAAGCTGAACATAGATGGCCCAAAATGTGCCACATACTTGTTTAACTTAGACCGACATAATATTTGACATGGTGGGATTTTTAAGGCACAACAAAATGATTTTCTTTAAAAACAAAGTTTATTTGCACAAAAATCTCTTTAAAATATATTATTCTCATTAAATGTTGCTGTATAAAACCGCATTTAAATCATGTATTCTCTAATTTGCACTGCATTTCAAGTATCGTATAAAATATAATAACAAATTCAGATCTCAAAAGCTCGATGCGTTTCTTTATCCACTTCATCAGGAGCTAAAGATGAATGCTTCTGAATGTGAAAACATACACTGTTAACACATATTACATTCCATTCAGTGCACTGAATTTGTGTTGTATTGTATACCATATTTAACATGCAATGCAAATTAGAGAATACATTATTTCAATCTGGTTTTATACAACAAAATTTGATAAGAATATTATATTTTAAAGAGATTTTATACAAATAAACTGTGTTTTTAAAGAGAATAATTTTTGTTGTGCCTTAAAAAAAATCCCACTTTGTCGAATATATGTGTGTCTGAAACAAAATCTGGTTCTTGACCAAACATTGAGTGAGGATCACTGGAATGCCCTACATTTCAAAATCCTGTGGAGCAAGCAGAAAAGAAGGTTTAGGGGAACAAAGGCACTCATTAGGGTAGGCACACCTTTGGGCCCAGAGACCACTCTGCCAGGTCCAGATGTTGCAGGCTTAAGAAATCTGCCTGCCAACTGTCTGTGCTGGGAATGTAAACGACAAGAATGAAACTTGAAGTTCTGCTCAGGACACAATCAACTCTACCTCTCTTGCCACAGTGACACTTCTTGGCTCCTTCCTGATTATTAATGCACACTACTACATTGGCATTGTATGAGTGGATCTTAATTTGGTAGGCCTCCAACAGGTTGATCCAATTCTGCAGGGATAGCCAGATTGCCTGAAGCTCCGAGATATTGAACAGGAGAGGAAACAAGTCCCTTGCACCAACAAACTGCCTAGGAATCCCCTAGTTAGACACGATTCTCCAGAATATAGGAACAAACAGCTTCCCTGATTACACCACCAGTTGCTGAACCCACCAAACCAGGGGCATCCTGATTCTGCACATCAGCTGGATCGGGTTGTCCAGAGACACTGATGACAGAGTATTGTGCAGATCCCTGTAGTGGAATTGGGCAAAGGGAACCACCTTGAAGGCGGCTACCTGGAACCCCAAGACCCTCATGCAAATGCAGAGGGTCAGACAATATCTTGACTGAAGAGCATGGTTTTGAGACAGAGTACACATTTATCCTAGGGAACTAAAACTTTGGCCTAGAAGTGATCAGAACCAGCCCCATATACCTCAAGCAATTAGTGAGACTCAACATTGCTTTCTGAAGGTTTAGTATTTACCTGAACATCTGCAACTTCTGGACAGTCAGAGACCCATTTGTCCTTCGGAGCCCTAACCAACTGTTCCAAAAACAGGCTGCCAAGTGCTAAGCACTTTGGTGAACATCCAAGGTGTAGTAGACAAACTGAATGGGTAGGGCCACAAACTGAAAGTGCAAAAGATGCTACAGAAACAACTGAGAAAATGCAGTTGAGCTGGGAAGCCTCTGAAAAATCTCTGAAACCTTTCTGCAACATGGACTAAGGCTTTAACTCCTTGCTCTAAAATTCCAGAGAGGGCACAATGAGGATCAGCAGGCTGTTGGGGAGACACATGGAGGCTTGATGTCAGAAAATTGAGAGTAGGCAGGGTACGAAACTCAAGTTTGTAGTCTGAGACACCACCCCATTCACCTAAGCATTGTGGATGCAAGACTTCCACGTGGCAATTAAGGTTACTCTCTCAACCCCCTCCTCCTCTGGAAAGTAAGCGTACATCTTCAAGGCTGAAAATCCACTGACAAGCCCTCCTCGCATGGGGTGCCAGACCTTGTGGATGGGTGGGGCACCATTCTGGGGTGGTGGTCACAATGTTGAAGTTCAGGACTGTTTCTGGAGTCCACCATTTTATTTCCTTATTGGAACCTCTCCCCCTCTCCTTGGTCTCAAAAACTATGTCACTTTCTTCAAATAAATATGTACATGATTGATTGTATGTCTTGGTTCAGATAGACAAGAAGGCTGACAGAAATGGTACAGTGCTGAAGTTCACAAGCTGTCCATGGCAGAGAAAGGAGAGAATATCAAGGAGAGAAGAAAATACACTATTCCTTGTAGAGTTTTTTTGTGTCTCCCGGGCAGCAAAGTTTATCCTGTCACCTCTCCGGCTTTTTTTTTCTCCCTCTCTAATCTGTCTGTGCTTGGAACATTCTGTGTCATTCCTGTTGCTTTCTCCCCCCCATCAGCCACAGTAAATCTTAAAGCCGTCTGGTGATCGGCCTCTAGTGGCTCTAATTTTAGGCAAAGTGCCAAGAATAGAGAGCAACTAAGTATGTGTAGAGCAGGGTTAGACAATATACTACTGGATTTTAAACCATGTAGGCATTTATTTTTAAAGCTTTACATAACTATATCTACAGAAGGGGCCAGCCTGAAGTAATCTAGCAGGACCTAATTTTCTGACTAAAGTTCCACTTTATTGCTGCATGGAGTGCACAAGCATAGGACATTTTAAATACATGCATAAGAACCTTTATACAGTACCTTGTTGAGTTCTGGGAATATCTCAAGCATTACAATATCTAGTAGAACATAAGACAGCTGAAAAATAACACAGATGCTATTAATACATATTGTTTGGACTATATTCTTATCACGATGTTAATAGAAATGTGCATGAAAAAAAAAAAAAAAAAAAAAAAAAAAAAGTGTTCTTCTGAAGCTGACCATACACATATTACAACATATTTTATACAACATAAAAATAGTTTATAGCAAGAACTTTGCAACATTGACTAAAATGTTATTTCAAATCTATTTAAGCAAATTTCTGGAGGTCTGTGACTAATAAAACAGTTAAGCTGATAAGCAAATGTTTGATTTTAAAGCCCTACTCTACCTTTAGGAAAAAAGCAGTTCTGCAAATAATCATATAGTAAAGGTTTACTTTTAACACAGCAAAATATGATCTCCTGGAGCTTAACAATGTCCTGTGTCCAAGGTAATGGGCTGCAGAGCCAGACCCCTGCATTCTGTATAAGAGCAGCAGTCTTTGTGACAGGGTCCCATGTGTGCCCTCCACTTACTTAGACCTACAGCTCCCCTATTAGCAAAGCTTGCACTCCCTGCTGATTCGGGAGCTTTGAGCCAGTGGGCAAAGAGGGGAAGAGTAGAGGGAGAGTATAGAGGACTAGTACACAGAGACTGCTGCTCTCACACACATTGTAACCATGATATCTACAGCTTGGACAAAGGACTTGGTTAAGCTGACAGATTTTGTCCTAAATGATTAAAAGTAAGCTCTTTCAGTTTCCTCCAACACAGGGGGCACTGCTAATTTAAAAATTATCTCATCTCCTAAAGCAGGCAGCCAGAATTTCTACATCTGGGATATAAAGACAAAGATGTCTGCTAGGGGACTGAAGTATCATTAGAGGTCTAAGACTATAAATAAAACAAACAAGTGGCAAGTAAAAGACATGGTATACCTTGTGTCTGAAAAAAAAAGTTAGGCCTGAAGTCTGTCCTAGTAAGCATAGTGTAGAAAAAAAGCTTGTGAGCTGTTACCTTGTACCAGTGCTTTATAGTGGGGTCCTAAACCCATAGAGATACTCTAGCACTCCTAGAACACCATTCCCACAGGGTGCACAAGCTCTGCTGGCACTTGTCATTTAACCAGTGTGAATGCAAAACTGAGCTTAGTGTAGATTTTGTATAAAATTACCTGTTTGTTAAGTACTGGCTGCTGCAGACCTTCAAAGAGCAATCGAATGCCTTCATATCTGGCTTCATCACCCATACATTTTCCTATTAAATCTAACCAAAAATGAAATAAACATGAGGATTAATTATATAAAAAACATGAATATGTCTATGGCTTTGTTAGGCATGGTCTTCTCATACAAGTTATTAGCAATACAATTGTTACATAATACCATTCTGGTGACATTACAGTGATCATGCACAGCTTTCAAGTTATGTACACAGAGGACTTCTGCTTAGAGATTTCAAATCGTGTTATGCCTGGCACAGCTACACAGGAAGCTTTGGTATCTTCTCTAGAGTTTTGATCATGTGGTCATGACACACAAAGGCTTTCTTCCAGCCTTTGTTGGACATCTTGCTGATCAACCACACAACATGATGACACATTAAAATAACCACAGAGCCACACATCTTTTTACTGGATTGGTAAATCTTCTGATATGGGTTTTTATATTGTGAACCCCACTAATATTACTTTGTGGTCCAATCCTGTGGCTTGGCTTGATCTGTGTCAAGGACTAGGCCCATAGATTCCAAACAATGCATAGGTTCCAGTGCCGATTTCAGGATTAATCCAAGGGCTAAGTTGTCCTCCAGAACCTGTGTTGACTGTTCCCTTAGCAGGAGGTCAAGATATCCCCCCAATAGGAATGCACTAAGACGACAGTAAAGCTAGTACTGGGGCCAGCAGCTTGGTGAGATGCAGAGGTATAACTGTAAGCGCAGAAGTGCAGTGAACCCACAGCAAAGTGCAGGAATTGTGGAAGTTTTGGGCCTGAATTAAGACATTTATGGTTGTGGGATCCATGAGGAGGATGCTCTCTTATTGTTTGGAACTGTGAACAGCTGGCAAATGATTAACTAGGGAGGGGACTAGTTTGTAGCCATGGGAAGCCATCTCCCATATCCAAGCATCTGGGCTGCAAGCTTTCCAAGTTTTGCAAAGGTTAGAAGATATCCCCCCCACTTTGGAAACTGGAGGCACAACCTCACACTGAAAAAGGGTTTGGTGGACTTGCAGTTCTAAGATTGCAGCTACAATGGGCACCACATATGGGTCTAGACTTGGAGTTTGAGTTTGTGCAGTAATGAAAAATACTTTTCTTGAACTTGAAATACTAGCAATGGGCAAGACTTTCCAGAATGAGCTTTAGGCTTCTTTAAATGAAAAAGATAAGTAGTCTTGTCACCTGTGGCATCCTTGATGAGGGCATACAGGGCAGCTTCAAAGACGTGTTGGTTCTTAAAGGTCAAGAACAGCAAAGACCTTTTAGATGCAGGCTCTGCTGCCAAAGATTTCTCCTCATGTTCAGTAACAGGAGACATATTTGGGAAATGAGATGGAAGACCTCCAACAATCTGTCTAAGTTGTAGTTTAAGGCTGTAGGCATGAACTTCAAACACCCGACCAGAAGATCAACTGCCACAGTGATCAGATGCCCTCCAATAGCCTTAGATCAATCAAGCAAGGTTTGACATATCCAGGTCAATAAGCAAATGATCTGCCAGGGAGAACAAAGCTCTAGATAGGACCTCCAGCTGCCTATTGGTGGGGTCCTTAAAGACAGCTGTATCCTCCACTGGGCTTAAAAAGGTTTGTTCCACAGAGATGACATTTCATTTTTTTTTTTTTTTTTTACAAAAGTCCTACTGAAATAGGTACAGGACTGATAGGTGATTGGAAGGTACAAATATCATATCAGGATGTTTTCAGTCTCCATAAAGGAAAACTGCAAACAGTGTGTGCACCAAGGTGGTCTTGGCAGTCTTAGGAGTGCTAAAGGATCCTAGACTAGGACAGCACTGAACGTGAGTTAAAACTAATCTTCAAGATTTAGACTGGTGTGTACCGCATCAATAAAAGCCGTAACAGTCTCTTTCAAACTGGGAATGATGGCAGAAGACAGACTTCTCAAAGGCAGGCTCATTCTTCAAGGCCTGGAGAAATTTTGCAACAGACAGAGGCTCAGCAGATGACGACTTGGAGGCTACCTATGTACGTCGATTGATCAGATAATGAATCTGCAGAGAGGTGGGAACCAACACACTTGTGACCAGCAACCATCTGTGCTAATTGAAATACAAAATTCTGCATGACTGTAGTAAAATCCTCCCTGGAGACAGCATCGGAGGCTGCTACACCTGACGGAGCTTGAGAAGACTATGAAAATGGCATACACTTTAGCAGAGGGGGAAAAAAAAAAAAATCAAGGCAGTCAGTGTAGGTCACATCAGTAGGCATGCAGCACTGGAGTCATTAGTGGAGTGTGAACTGAAAGCACACAGTACAGCGGGACTGGCTGCCCTGTGTCTAGAATTAAACATGTTGCTCTGCAATGAAGACAGGCATCATAGCTCAAGATCTGAAACAAGGTACTCACAAATCCAATGGTTTGGAAGCAGGTTTAGGGTCAGGAGGCCAAAGATCACAAGGCCACTGTAGGTGGGCAGTAGGAATGGACAAAGGATCAGAGTTTTACATAGATGTTGCAAGTAGAAGCAGCAACGGGATGATGCTTACACACAGCTGAATGGCAGGAAATAACTCACAGAGCATGCACGCATTAATTCACCCAAAGGATGATGTCAACAATTAATACCTCAGAGACAAACCTTTTATATGGGGAAACTAACAGAAAATGGGAAATTTGAAGGTGCGTAACTGTTTAAGGTAGCTCTTGATGCTCAGCACGAATGGCCTACTCAAAAGGGGATTCTTCAGAGATAGGACAAGCACCAAGGCATTGCCACAGCTCTGGACCTGGAAAGAGCTCCATAGCTAATTTTTTCATGTAATGTCTGTAAAGCACCACAAGTGGAACCCTGTGGCCAAACATCACATTCCAGGCTTAGCCCCAAAGTCAGGTTGAGTAAATACCAACAAGGATAGCAAATATTTAGAGAACAGTTCAAGCACTGATGTAGCAGGAATCTTATTCAGGGGGAAAAAAAAAAATACTTTTTTCACTCCCCCAAGACTCTAGCAAAAAAACTAAGGTATGCCTATATTTTTTTTTGTGTTTTCTAGTGTCCTGTAGACTGTATAACCCAACAGTATAATACTTCCCGTATAATCTTCTTTCACTAAAGGGCACACAAAGTAAGCCCAATCCCACCCCCCTCCCCTTTTTTTTTTTCTTTTCTCCCCCTCCTTCTCACTATCCATCCCCCCAATCCACCTCCCCTCCCGTATCCCCCCACTCTGCGAAAATATCTAAAAACTTTGGGCGAGCTCCAGCTCTGACAGGATGGCTAGTAGACAGCACCAAATAAATTCATATATAGCATGTTGCAGTGCTGACAAGTCATTGCTGTACCATATGGTTACAGAACACACCCTTCAATTAGTGGTTCATCATACAATTGTTATGCTGCATGTACTACCCTTCTGTTTGCTGCCCCCAATGTCTTACAAACTACAGTAACTAAGTCATTACTGTTATTTTTGGATGCAAACCTTAAAATAAAGAATAAAAAAAAAAACAGCCCAATTTCTGTGTGTAAACTGGAAAGTAATGTTTTGATAGCAGCATTACAATATAATATCAGGTCAATTACAAAAAAAAAACGGATAAAAAGTCCAATTGTATGATTTTAGAGACATCGTGAGAATTTTTTTTTTAAAAAGTGCTCAACTGATGTGTATTAAGCGGTTAGGAGCAACATAATTATTACTGCGTTACTGAGAATGACAGAATAATCTCCAAATATATCTTTTATGGCTATACTTATTTATGGATATTTTCTTAATTATTGAAGTAAAAGCTGTAAAAAACAAAACAAGCAAAATAATAACAAAAAACTCAACCTGTTTTAAATAAATATCACATAAGAAAGTAAACCTGGAATGTAGCTCATCATTTCATCAAACGTCTGTTTAGCCCGCTTTTGCTTAACTGCTGTTGTTCGCGGGTCTGTACTTTCACAAAACACAGCATCTAAAAACAAGCACAAAGATTGAAAAATGTTCCATGCAGCATATGACTCTAAACGGTATTCTAAAATCCATTACAAACTATATGGTAACGTGATATAATTATGGTATTAGAGAGCATGAAAGCCACACACCAGAAATATATGGAGTCAACAAACAGTTTTCTGAATATAGCAAGGCAATTATAATAATGGAAACTTTGATGTTTGTGCAAATACAGGTGCATCTCAATAAATTAAAATATTGTCAAAGTTCATTTATTTCAGTAATTCAATTCAAAAAGTGAAACTCATAATATATAGATTCATTACACACAGAGTGATATATTTTAAGCATTTCTTTCTTTTCATTTTGATGATTATGGCTTACAGCTAGTGAAAACCCAAAATCCAGTATCTCAGAAAATTTGAATATTGTGAAAACGTTCAATATTGTAGACTCATGGGGGTTTATTTGCTAAAGCTGGAGAGTGCAAAATCAGACTCACTTCTGCATAGAAACCAATCAGCTTCCAGGTTTCATTGCCAAAGCTTCATTGAACAAGCTGAGGTTAGAAGCTGATTGGTTTCTATGCAGAAGGGAGTCTGATTTTGGACTCTCCAGCTTTAGTAAATAAACCCCATGGTGTCACACTCTAATCGGCTAATTAACTCAAAACACCTGTAAAGATTTAATCGAATAGTTCTATTGATTCTGCCTGTGCCTTTAAAATCCCACAAAGAGAGGGTTTTCCATACATGTTTTACAAGGGATGATGGCACTGATTTCAGTAATAAAATATTAGAGACATGACACAACCTTTGTGAGAATTATAGACGCAAATGGGCCATGCGTTCATGAGGGTTGGTATTATTATAACCATGTATCTATTTATCCTGAAATGGTGTTGTAAATATAAATATAGAGGCATGAATATTGAATTCTGCATATTAGATTTATATGAGTATAGTTTCTAATGATAATATAGCTCTCTCTCATATATATATATATATATATATATATATATATATATATATATTTTTTTTTTTTATATTTATATTTCTCCTCCCCTCCCAGTTCTTTAATTTAGCTCAAAGTAGAACACATTAGAGCAGGGGAAGGCAACCTGCGGCTCTCTAGCTGTTGTGGAACTACATTTCCCATGAGGCATTGCAACATTACAAAACTAGACAGTTACAGCTATGACTTGCAGAGGCATGATGGAACTTGTAGTCCTGCAACAGCTGGAGAGCCGCAGGTTGAATACCCCTGCATTAGAGGGAAGACCCCAGCAAGATTACATTCTGGTGTGCAGCATCAATATTTGCTTATAGATGGTGAAGGCATAGGTATGAATGAGTGGAAGGGGTACCTGTGCCCAGAGCAGGCTGTAGGAGATGCACTTGAAGGCTGTAGCAGAGCAGCCACAACTTGCCACTGCCGTAATGTGTAATGAAATATTTAAATGTGTATCTGTCTACTGTGAAGGGTGATACATACCTCTAAGAAGTGTAATCAGTGATACTAGCCGATGCTCTTGACTAAGTTGTTCTAGTTTACATTGAAGGTAGTGGTCTGTGTAGGTTTCAAGTGTGTTTTTAAACAGGATTCTTCCTCCCATTAACAGGTGATGAAACCAGTCAGGGATGTGGAAAATAACCCGGCCTGTTGACAAACCATACAGACCAGATATTAGGAATGTTATACTTTAGCAGTATTTCTGTAATTTACAATACTTTATTTCCCAAGGAGTGTGGAAGCATATTAAAATATACATATGTGAAAGGACATGATTTATTGCTAGCATAATCCCACACTGGCAAAAGAATTCTATTGAACAGCCAGTGCTATCCAAAATTTAGTACTGTCAAATGCACCAGCCTCTAAAAAACTTTTTTTATAAAAGCATAGCCTACCTTTTACAAATTTTTAATAAATGTACCAATATTAAGGAAAGAAAGAAAAAATTAATTTAATAAATGGCCTGCAGAGCATTGCAATCGCAACCAGTGCACTGTGGTAGCATAGCACAAGCTTCTGCATTGTTTACATGCCAGCCCTAGGTCCATATGGAAGTACAAACCTACCGTTATGAAGCTACAGGACATAATGGTGTCACCGCACTTTTGCCTGATTAAGATTTAAACCCTTCTGCAGCAGCAGCAATAGTAATCTTTTCATTCACATTGTGTGTGCATGCACCACAGTCATGGCTTGAGACTTCACCTGATTCAAAGGATAAACTGGCTACACACAAACACATCTAGAGCAAACATTAGTATAACTAATTCAAGCTTAGAATGAAGAAGCAGTTTATTGCATCTTTTGACTTACCTATGTACATAAGATAGTCATAAACCCCTTCCACAGTCATAACTTCTATGAAGCAATTCTGGTTATGCTTTCTCTCTGTGTTGTCAGATCGGTTGGCATTATTCTTGTATAAGTCATTAAAAAGCTAAGAAACAGACAATATCATATTCAATACAATGCCACTCAAAAGATGTACTGCGACAATAAACGGGTAACTATTTTGAGGTACACATATTTTAGAAACTTATTTTTTAGGCACCTTCACTCACTCTCAGCTAATAAACACTCTAGCTTCTACAAAGTGACTCCTGGACCCTTCATGGCTATTCTTATAAGTATCCTTCTCGTTTGTGCTTGCAGTTTTGAAGGATGACCATTTTATAGTAAGCATTCAGGTTATTTGAAGCTTCTATTACAAATCTACCTATTACTTTCTCCCATAGTTCTGAAGGAGGATCGTTTTGAATTATATAATAAGTGTCTATCCGGACTGATTTAGCTTCTACTTCCTGATAATTAAACCAAGAAGGCAGTGTCGCAGGGACATCCAAACATTTTATACCATTTCCTAATGTATTACTTGTTCTTGCTGGATCGGATTGGCGGTAGGTGGGGGTAAACGGACACAAGTCTGTTTACATCTGCTACTCCATAGAGGAGAATGGAAGATTTGATGTATCCACCAGAAAAACTGACAGGCAGACCCAATAGGACCCCTCGTGTGAAAAGGCCTTAGGAAAACAACCTTGGGCAAATATGTCTAGCAAAATGGGGCAATTCAAAAACTATGCAGTGTTCACATTTTCCAGCACAACACAAAAACTGAAAATGCACTGGCAATGTATGTAATAACCAGGATAAGTCTCATGATAATACATTAAAACTAGCACATAGGGTGGTAAAGAGACATACTGGGGGTCTTGCTGCACACCTTTTTATCGTTTTCTGAAGTGGGGCTGAGTATAGTCAATTCCGGTCTGCTTGGTTTTGGTTTTGGGGATTCACATGAGTTTATGAAGTTCATAATGAAGAGTTCTAAGTGTTGTCCTTTCTGCAAACAAGAACACACTATTTAGTACAGGGACAAAGTAAAGTAAACTTGTACTGAGAGAAAAAAAAAAAAAAAGGAGGCTGCTCACGCAGACCTTCTGAAAAATGCTAGCTGCTTGGCTCGTTCAGGAAGGCTTCACTACTTTCTACATTGCTGATTAAAAACAAGTAGGTAAAGTCAGAAATGATCTGCATACTTGTACCAGTTCAGTGAACCAAAGTATTGAAACCACTGGATCAGCATGAAGGCCACGCAATTAGCATTTTCAGAATGAGAAGCTAGCAATATCAGTCTCTATATTTCTTACAGTACACATTTCCTTTAAGCAACAGTGAAGGGTATAAGATAGTAGTTAATGAAATACCTCTTTGATTAATTTGCCTGGCACAGACTTGAACATTTTACCTGCAATGCAGAACAGAGAAATAGTCATATTGACAGGAATGATATTAATAGGCAAAATAAGTGTCGGCTCAGTTTTAGCTACATAAATAGAAATGGAAGCCTAAAATTGTGTATGCGCTGACATTTTTTTTTTTGGGGGGGGGGGGAGCATAGAATTGACTTTGCAGAATAGGTTTTATTAAAGAGGCAATATTTACTTTGTAAATAGCCAGTTTTTTGTACACTCCAGCCTATAACAATAATTAAACCTTGTCATTTGTGAATTTTATTTAATACAGTAGTACACAAAGTACAGCACAGCAACAAATACCTTCTTGAAACTAGAGGTTCTTAAAAGCAATTCTTAAAGTGATTCTAAAGGCTTGTTTTTTTAAGAAAAAATAACAAACATGTTATACTTACCTGCTGTGTGCAGTGGTTTTGCACAGAGCAGCCTGGATCCTCCTCTTTTCGGGTCCCCTGTAGGCTCTCCTGGCCCCACCCTTCTGTCAGGTGCCACCACAGCAAGCAGCTTGCTATGGGGGCACCCGCAGCTCAGTGTGTTCATTCACACATGAAGCTGTGGCTCGGCAGCCAATGACTCCCGCTTCTGTCTCAGCCAATGAGAAGAGGGAGTGCCGAGACAGCCGAGACTCCAGTGCACATCGCTGCATCGAAAGGGGGCTTAAGTAAGTATTAGGGGGGGCTCCTGTATAGAGGTTTTTTTTTTTTACCTTTGGCAGCAAAAGTGGAAATAGACTTTAAAGGCTAAGGCTGGCCATACATTATACAATTTTCCTGAGATTTATGCTTTAGATTTACTAAAATCCATATAATATGAGGTCAAAGCTAAACAACACTTTCAATTGTATCTAACTAGGCAGGCCCTTGCACTACATAGTGAAAGGTAAATCTAAAGGAAATTGGGCAGAAATTGGTCAGAAAACTGTAAGAAAATTGTATAGTATATGGCCAGCCTAACTCCACCTATTCAGGGCGTAACATGCAACGCTGCAAACGATACCAAACGCCCCACCCCACATCATTCCCTTTTTCACTGTGATAGTTTCTCTCCCCCAAGCAGCTGTAATTTTGAAAATGGCGTTGAGATCTGTGAATGAATTACAAGTCCGGTCTGCCACTGGCAGACAGACCTGTAGCTCTCAATGGAACACAAGCGCGGTAATCACCACATTCGTAGTTCACCGATACATCCTCCAGCTCTCCAACTGATAGTCCATAACTTGGTACAGACATAGAGCTAGAGGAAAAGTTTGCAGAAACCTGGCATTGCACCTGCAATCCACTGATCGCTAATGCAATGCTATGCAGACGGTTTTTGCAATAAAAAAAGAAAACAAAATCATAAATGCTAAATGCTTTATCTGCAAATTATATTAGCATTTACTATTTTCTTGTAAAAGGTGGGCTTAGGCATTAACATCCAAAAGGGAGTTTGTTCCATTTAACCCTCCTCCACGATCACAAATGTAGCTTTTTTTCCTGTTTAATTAGGCTTTTTTCCTTTTCTTTACTGTAGCCCTGCTGTCCGCTACCAATCTAGCCTAGGGTGTTAAAAAAAGAAAAGAAAAAAAAAAAAAAAAGGAGAAGGGGGAATTTCTGATTCCTATAATAACTTAATCAAACCAGGTCAGTGTTTGAACCAATAACAAAACTTTTTTTAAAGAAATATCAGCAAGCATTTTTTTTTATGAAAACAGGCAGAATTGGAAAACACTGATAGGTCTGTGGGGGGATAGTGGTAGTAAGTGTTCTCAAGGGTACTTAAAGTTAGGTTACATTCAAAGGGGTAAAAGGTAAACTTGGCTTTAGTAAAGGGGAATATATTTTCATGGAGTTGAGAAAGAATTGCCACAACCTGATAAAAGAGAAAAAGTGAATGGTCACCAGGTTTCATTACACATCATTGTTTTCTGTACTTTTGTGTTTATCATATAAACAGTCTCCTTTCCACAAAGAACAGAATTTACCAAGGTTGACATCTGGAAGGATCTTGTCATGAAACTGTGTTTCCAGGCTGTTAGGTGACAGGAAATCTGCTAACAATTGGCTGTTACTAAGCTCTGGATGCTGTAATAGTTTCTGAAATGGGAGAAAACAAACAGCCTATTAAAAGGAATAGATGTATTAGAGCTTCTAATTAATTTGACCTACAGTGCCTATAGATAAGGCCATTGATTGCAAGGTGCACCGTTCTCATTTAGTGAAAAATACAGCTTTGGTTTTAGTTTTGGATTAAGTGTGGGCAGGTGTTAGGAATTGTGCAGTTTTGTTTTGATTTTTTGTTGTCCCTATTACGGAGATATCCCCTAATTTTTATTCCGCTGATCCTAAAGAAAACAATGAGAGTGCTGAAATAGCTGCACAATAGCGGTCAAGGTCAGGTTCTGAAAAGCATGGTACTGTTCACATACAGGTTTGTGCTTGTATCTAGCAGCTTACAGTTCACGTAAAACTAAAAAAAAATTTAAATGGCTTACCTGTAAATATTCCTGAAATTCCTCTCTTTTGGATTTTAAAAATTCATAGTTTTTGGGGCCAATGATCCTTTTTGATGGAAGTTGAGCATCAGGAAATGTACCTGTGAATTACATTAAGGTTATATATAAAATGTATCCACTAATTCTACATCAACCCAACAGCATTAGTAAATAAAACACATATGATGCTGAATTTTTAAATGTGATATTTTCATGACAACAATCTTACACAAATCTATTTAATAAATATCATACACAGTCTCTTGCTTCGCATGCTGCCAGGGTACAAAATGTCTAATTACATCCAACTTCACATGCCATTTCATGTTGCTTAAATGTACAGTACTTGCTACCACAAATCAGTCCAATGAAAAGAAAAAAGTTTATTATAGAAAAAAGGGATGTAGAAATTTTCCAAACAGGGACAAATACAGCAATAATGAGTTAGCAGAGCTTCTAATCCTTGCCCATCCAAACAAATCTGAAAATAGCATAGGTTTCTGGCTGGAGTTAGACTGTAATGTTAGACCACAATTCCCCCATTTATTTTATTTATTACAGGTTCTTATATAGCACTGTCAATTTACGCAGTGCTTTACACACACACATATATATATATATATATATATATATACACACATACACACACATACACATATATACACACATATATACATATATACACACATTATATATATATATATATATATATATATATATATATTATTTTTTTACATTCACATCAGTCCCTAACCCTCAAGGGTCCCGAACGTACATTCATACACATACTAGGGACAATTTAGATAGGATCCAACATGTCTTTGGAGTGTGAGAGGAAACCAGAGTACTCGGAGGAAACCCACGGAGGCACAAGGAGAGCATGCAAACTCCAGGCAGGTGGTGCTGTGGTTGGGATTCGAACCAACGACCCTAGTACTGCCTGGCAGTATTTCAATAGAGCCTGTAGTTGTGCATGCATACCGCAGTGCAGGCACTGGTGAAAATAGAATGTAAACATTGCCTAGCACAATGGAGCACCAAGCAGTGTAAAGCAGGACCACACTGCATCAGAGATCTCAATTTGGGTATAATAGATAATAGTTTTAAAAACTAGAACATAGAATAAGAAAATCCTTAGTTTGAATAAGAACTTGTTTATTCTATACATGCATTATCCGCAATAATGCACTGTAGATGTGCTCTGTGGTGCGCTACCATTCAATTGTACCTTACAGTGGTTGTAAACATCAGAAATAAAATATAAGCAAAGTATATCCCTCTATAGTGTATGCGTGTCTCAATTAGGAACACTAACTGCCATTTCTGTCTGTGTCATTCTTCTGCTATCTGAATGAATCACTTCTGACAAGTTTTCCTGACACCCAGAGAAAAAAGGTGACAAGGAAGGAAGCTCCAGCACACAGACTTTGATTGACAGCCTGAGCGCTCTTCCTGTGTGCTGTGTGAAGGGGGTGTGCTTCTTCCCTCCAATCAGCTCTCAGATCTCTCCTAACTGAACTCTGTAGTGTATAATTTCAACTCTCTGCCCCCTGTTTTTTGAAAGCTTAGACAAGCTTAATAAAATATGGACTTTAAAAGAATGTAGAGAATAGAAGACTACAGATAAACAGGTAAAACGTATATAGGAGGATTTGTTTCATCTCCGTGTATCACCTGAGGCCAGTCACTTCACTGGGTATATGTAAGGGTTTACAACCACTTTATTACATTTCTACAGCATGTTGGGATGCTTCTGCATTATAGTGCAACTGCAGCATACAGGAGCATATGCAAAACCAGCCTATTCAAAATAAATTAGATGCTTTGACAGTCTATTAAGAATTAATATGGTGCATTAACAGCTCACTCAAAATAAAAGGGCTGTATAATGCAAGAAAATAGTTTGGGTACAGGTGTGTCATCCCAAATGCACCCAGGGCCATGCATCAGAGACAATGTGACAGATGTCACATTGAGAGCAGTGGCTGTGTCCGTGCAGCTGCTGCATCCCAATAGACACCTATGGGACTGCCAGCGCAGGGATGCATGCAGCACCTGTGCATCCCCAAGCCAATAAAACATGGTACTACATGGGACATGGAAATAATCACTCCGTATGAATGAGGCACAAAAAGTCAGTTTATGCTGGGAGTTTACATTTGATTAGAGGCCCCATGGGAACTAAAGCATGTTACATGACTAGAGGTGTGGCTTGGGGCTATTGAACCTGTGATCAAAGTCGGATATGATTCAGACTCTGCTCATGGTTCTCTAGAAAAGAGACCTATGTCGCCAAGCTCCATAACCCCCATGAAGTCCACAGTGACGTAACATGCAGGGTGGAGCTTGGTCATGCTTGCATACATACACACCTGAAAGTAGTACCTGAACATAATACACCTAGCCTAAGATGTCATAGTGATTGCCTCAATCTAGTAAGAGGGATTCCTAACATATGCAATTGTTTGTGTGTAGGTGCACATGAAGGTGTAAGTGAGATGCTTTTTTTTTTTTTTTTTTTAAATAAAATGTGTCTGATATTACACTATGTGTTGCAGTCCTTTTCTGAGATATAGATTGTAAGCTCGAAAGAGCAGGGCCCTCGATCCCCTCATGTTTTGCATTGTATTAGTATTGTTCTGTCACATGTTCTGTCCCCCTCTGTAATGTACAGTGCTGAGTGAACTATTGGCGCTTTATAAATACTGTATAATAATAATAATATGGGAAGGTATCACTTGGAGAATGGTTGATGAGGATAAAAGAGAGTTTGACCATACTAAAGTATCTGAGTTTTAATTCACATGAAAAGGTGATCTTCATTTCCTTAGAGTAGGGAAGACAACTGGAGAAGACCCTTCCACCCAACAGGAAATTTGGATAATACTTCTATTTGTAGACTTTAACACAAACTTTTCATTCTTTTTTTTAGGGGGGGGGGGGGGGGGGGGCACAATTAAACCTTGTTTTACAATAGCGTACAAATTTGTTTTGCATTTTGATACACGGGACAGTGCACTCATATATTTGTGATTTTGTAAATGGGTTTTGGTACCATCCGTAGCGTTGTACTATTTTTGTAAGGCATTTTCAGTAGATGATGTATTCATTTAGGTCCTGGCTGCGAATTTTGGAAAACATTGCATTCTTTGCCAGATTAACATGTATTTTCTGTACTTGTAGAAAAGCCTGAAAAGTGAAAACTAATACAGTCGCCACATCTAAAGACTTGAGTGAGCTGCAATACATTACATTTTTGTTCTTGGGTTTAGTTATACTTTAACCACTTGCGTACCAAGGTAGGTTTTTCAATGGTGGATTAGTGGCCTTTTATTTACCCAGTGCTGTTTATGAACAGAACTGGATAAACAGTGATCAGGCAGCCAATTTTCCGGGTAATTGTTATGTACTCAGCTGACATTATAACGGGAAGGAGAGAGATCAATACTTATGAATAGGCATAGAATGAATGGATCAGCAGCTGTAGCTGCTGATCCATTCATTCTGCTGCAGTAACACAAGGATTTTTTTTAACCTTTTCAGGCCCCCTCCTCTCCTACACATACTAACTCAAAAGCTGTCTCCTTGTCACCTGTAAATTAACCCCTCAACTTCCATACCATGCTTATCTAAACCTTACCCCTTCATCTCCATCCTGCCACTGTATGTGACCAGTACATTAATACCTTCACTTCCCCGATCCTCTATATATGACCTCAGCATGAAAGTGGTTGTAAACTTTAGACATGAAAATTGAACAAACCATATCCTACTATAGTAAATACTAACCTAAATCCAAACACTGGCCCTGGTTCCTCTCTGATTTTTCTCGTGAGATGGCCCACCACCCCCTCAACCACACAGCAGATGATTCATACCTTAAGCTCTCTTTTCTCTGAACCTGTGAAGAGGAGTGTGTGTCACTTTTCTCCAATCAGCTCTCAGATAACACTCAGCTCCGCAAAGTGTGTGATGTCACATCCCCATCCCCTGCTTTCTGATTCTGAGAAAAATCCTTTCATCTATGTGTTGTGGAAGGTTGTGCAGGACAGGTGGCTTCAGATAAACAGGTACAACTTATGTAGGAGGATTTATTTCATCTCTTTATCATCTGAGGCTAGTCACTTCACTGAGCATATGTAAAGGTTTACAACCACTTTAATTTATCTGGTGTGCTTTGCTCAAGCCCCGTGTTTAACCCCCTCAGCACCAGCAAGTTTCTTCATTTTCAAAAAATTTCTGCAAAAAATTAGATCTAAACTGTAGTGAAGGACTGCTGGATGAGAGCTCTGTGATCCAGGCTGCAGCGTGATTGAAAAAACAGAGACCTATCTATCCCTGGCTTGTTACACATGCGCTGTCTGCCTCTATCCATGGGGTAGAGGTTCTTGTAAGCTACCCATTCCAGGTGTTGGTATTTCTATCCCTGACAACTGCAGACCCAAGACTTGGATGTCAAGGTGCTTATTTATCTGTGGATAACACTTTGCACCTTATTTATGAACTATTTGATGGACACTCATGTTTGCACATGGGATTATTAATTTATCAAATTGTGAACGTTATATGATTATTTCCATCACTATATTTAGATATTTTATTTTATGGTTTTGTAGATTTCATTTGCACAGTTCACTTAACTTTAGTTTTGTTTTTTTAATTTTATGCATAATTTCTTTGACATCTTTGACATAATTTTCTTTGAAAATCTGGATTTATGGATTTTGGCGTTGCAAAGAGAAAAAGTTAAATCACCTTGGGGTGTCTGATTTCACAAAAAATGTAATTTGGGGATTGCCATACTATTCTGCCATTTTTATTTTAACAAAGGGAGACAGGTTTTTTTTTTTCAAAATTTGTGGCTTTTTTTTTTTTTTTACTTTTTATAGTTAAAAATTAAAAAAAGAAAACAAAAAACAAGATCATTTGACCGACAATTACTGCCATACAATGCTGTACCCAAACTATTGTAGAGCTGAAAACAAAAAATGATTTGGTAATAGGGATATTAAAGGCTACTCAAGTAGTTAAACTGATGCATGGCATTAACGTAAATTCAGAGCACAAAATGTACCATGGAACTCCGTGAGCTTTGACTCCAGAACATAAAATTCTATGTACTTTCTGTAGACAGACCAGTGTTCAGCTTCATGTCCAACTGCAAAATATAAAAATGTAAATGAAGTGTGAATGATAAAAAGAAAAAACTGCCAGTACTCAGTAAAAAGCAAATAAATCTGATTAATACACATATTTAATAATTAGGAGCAGTTTGTCATCTAGCTACAGTTCAAAGGTCAAATGAAGCATGTTGCTTCCAGCAAAAGGATATATATATACACCGTATATATATATATATATATATATATATATATATATATATATATATATACACACACATACATACATACACATGCATACATATATACATACAAATACACACACACGATATTAAAAAAAAGTCTACATACCCCTGTTAAAATGTCAGGTTTCTGTGATGTAAAAAAATTAGACAAAGATAGATAATTTCAGAACTTTTCCACCTTTAATGTGACATATAAACTGTACAACTCAATTGAAAAACAAACTGAAATCTTTTTTTGGGGGGGGGGAAAGAAAACATAAAAAACTAAAATAATGTGGTTGCATAAGTGTGCACACCCTCTTATAACTGGGGATGTAGTTGTGTTCAGAATTAAGCAATCACATTCAAAATCTTGTTAAATAGGAGTCATTATTTAAAGTGCCTCTGATTAACCCCAAATAAAATTCAGCTGTTCTAGTCTTTCCTAACATTTTCTTAGTCGCATCCTATAGCAAAAGCCATGGTCCGCAGAGAGCTTCCAAAGCATCAGAGGGATCTCATTGTTAAAAGGTATCAGTCAGGAGAAGGGTACAAAAAAAATTCCAAGGCTTTAGATATACCATGGAACACAATGAAGACAGTCATCATCAAGTGGAGAAACTATGGCGCAACAGTGACATTACCAAGAACTTGACGTCTCTCCAAAATTGATGAAAAGATAAGAAAACTGGTCTGGGAGGCTGCCAAGAGGCCTACAGCAACATTAAAGGAGCTGCAGGAATATCTGGCAAGTACTGGCTGTGTGGTACATGTGACAACAATCTCCCGTATTCTTCATATGTCTGGGCTATGGGGTAGAGGGGCAAGACGGAAGCCTTTTCTTAAGAAGAAAAACATCCAAGCGCGGATACATGTAGCAAAAAAACACATCTGAAGTCTCCCAAAATCATATGGGAAAATGTGTTATGGTCTGTTGAAACCAAGGTTGAACTTTTTGACCATAATTCCAAAAGATATGTTTGGCGCAAATCCAACACTGCACATCACTAAAAGAACACCATACCCACAGTGAAGCATGGTGGTGGCATCATGCTTTGGGGCTGTTTTTCTTCAGCTGGAACTGGGGCCTTAGTCAAGGTAGAAGCAATTATGAACAGTTCTAAATACCAGTCAATACTGGCACAAAACCTTCAAGCTTCTGCTAGAAAGCTGAACATGAAGAGGAACTTCATCTTTTAGCATGACAACCACCCAAAGCATACATCCAAATCAAAGCAATGGCTTCACCAGAAGAAGAATAAAAGTTTTGGAATGGCCCAACCAGAGCCCAGACCTGAAACCGATAGAAAATCTGAGGGGTGATTTGAAGAGGGCTGTGTACAGGAGATGCCCTCACAATCTGACAGATCTGGAGAGTTTTTGCAAGGAAGAGTGGGCAAATATTGCCAAGCCAAGATGTGCCATGCTGATAGACTCATACCCAAAAAGACTGAGTGCTGTAATAAAATCAAAAGGTGCTTCAACAAAAGTATTAGTTTAAGGGTGTGCACACTTATGCAACCATATTTTTAGTTTTTATTTTTACTTCCCTCCACCTACAAGATTTCAGTTTGTTGTTCAATTGAGTTGTACAGTTTATAGGTTACATTAAAGGTGGAAAACGTTCTGAAATTATTTATCTTTGTCTCATTTTTTACATCACAGAAACCTGACATTTTAACAGGGGTGTGTAGACTTTTTATATCCACTGTACACACACACACATATATATATATATATATATATATATATACACACACACACATACATATACACACACATACACACATATACATATGTACACTCTATTGCCAGACGTATTGGGACACCCTTCCAAATCATTGGATTCAGGTGTTCCAATCACCTCCATGGCCACAGATGTATAAACTCAAGCACCTAGGCATGCAAACTGCTTCTAGGAGTTCATTGAATTCAAGTGTGGTACCATGTTAGGTTGCCACCTGTGCAATAAGTCCATCCGTGAAATTTCCTTGCTACTAAATATTCCACGGTCAACTGTTAGTGGTATAATAACAAAGGGGAAGCAACTGGGAACAACAGTAACTCAGCCATGAAGTGGTAGGCCATGTAAAATGACAGAGCGGGGTCAGCACATGCTGAAGTGCACAGTGCGCATAAGTCTCCAACTGTCTGCAGAGTCAATAGCTAAAGAGCTCCTGGTGAACCTTGTGGACAGCCTTCCCAGAAGAGTTGAAGTTGTTATAGCTGCAAAGGGTGGGCCAACTCAATATTGAACCCTAAGGACTAAGATTGGGATGCCATTAAAGTTAATTTACATGTAGAGGCAGGCATCCCAATACTTTTGGCAATATAATGTATACACACATTATTAATGGAGCACACTGAACTGATTGCTCTTAAATGTTAGGAAATGGCATAAACAGCAGGGCCTCCCTCTTAATTGACTTAATCACTAATAGAAAGATAACTAGTCTGCTATGAGGATAAAAATCTACATATTTTACTACAACGTCTAAATTTTAAAGCTGCATTCTACGCATGGATTTTATTGCAGTTACATTGATTCAGCTCGCTGTACAGATTCTAAATTTAAGGCAGAGTTGCTACTCTAATGAGCAGTCTTGTACTACAGTGAAATAAGAAACATTGTTGCAGGGGGCATGGCTTTGATCATTGTCACTGCTGGATCACAAGGCTGTAGCTTGTCAATCCACACCTGGCCACATCTAGTCCTGCCCACTCTGTTCTGGATTAACAGCACAGCCTCTGCTACTGAAACATCTCACTTTGAGCTGCAGTGTCTGTGTGGGGAGCACTTGAGACATAACTGAAGGAGGACTTGGCTCACTCAGAAGGTGTAAACACAGATTTTTTATATATTTTTATTTTATGGAGTTTGTGCATCACATGTAGCTGTAGTTGAGACTTATACCAGGGAATTTAGTTGTACTTTAAGTGAAGTACCTGCTTTTCTGTCATTTCTTTCAACATCTATACAAAAAACAGGTATTCTCTCTTTTCGATCTCTTTTTTCAAAATCATCATAGAAGTCCACATAAGGGATACTGATTTTCCATGCAGAAAGATTACGAGGTGTGTTGGGAGTAGTTGCAGAGAGAACTTCCACAGGCGAATCATCTTCTAAGACCACAATACCTTCTTCAATCTGAAAAAGAGGACATAAAGTACCTTCAGTGAACAGAACCAACAGAAACTGGAGCAAAGATTTCGCTAAACCACCTTTGTGTATTGCTCTTTATTGCTAGAATGCCCACTCTGTTTGAAAAAACTGCTTAAACATGTCCAGTGACAGCTTTTAAGCCAGTCTAATGTTAGGAACATATTTTGTACCATCAAAGAAAATCTCCAGTTTTGCTAAGAATAAGAAATCCCTCTAGCTGAACTTTACATTGCTATTTGGAGGCTCTCTCTTTTTTTTTGTATCAAAACACAGAATAGTCCCCAGAGAGGCCTTAATGAGGATTGGAACAAGAGGGAGGGAACACCATGAAAGCTTGTCATTTACCCCCAGTTCACATGTATGCGGCCGTGCATGCCACGTTTTGCACGGGCACGAGAGCCCATTCATTTGATTGGACTCCCGTGCCTGTGACACGCAGGGAAGAAGTCCCTGCACTTCTTTGGAAAACACAGCCCCGCAAGGGAACCTCGGATACCGGTACGGTTGCGTTTTCCAGTGCAGGTGGTGTGAGATTAGAATTAATGGCACCCGCCCGTGGGTCCGCATTTCTTTGTGCGGGTGGTGTAGCTGCACAGATTTTCGTGCGGAACCGCAGCGGCACCACCCGCACAGATGTGAACCTAGGGTTAAAGCAGAACTACAACCAAAACAGAGAATGCAATCCACTTAATCGACAAAGATCTTAATGTCTTCATTTATACAGAGCTAGTCAGTTTCTTCCTAATATGCCGAGAACCCAGTACCATTTGTACTGTATACCATTATGAAGCTTGATTTCTTTTCAAAATCTACCTTGAAAGGGGCTTCAAAGTTCTATTAGTGTGTAAATGAGGCTGAAATCAAGAGACTATGAGGAGAATTTACTAAAACTGGAGCAGACAGGATCTGGAGCAGGTGTGCATTGTAACCAATCAGGTTTAGCCTCAGCTTGTTCAGTTAAAGTGTTGTAAGCCTCTGAAATGAAAACTGAAAAAAGCACACCCTTCTATAGTATGTACTAGCTTCAATCCAAAGCATTACGTGCGATTCCTCCCTGCAAAGAGAAGGTGATTGACAGCCTCAGCTGTGCATGTTTCCCTATGAGACTGTGTAGAGCGGAGGTGTAATTTCCTTCCATTGAGGTGTCATACTACACTCAGTGCTGTGTGTGTGACATCAGATCCCCGCCTGGTGCCTTCTGGAGTTGAGCAATAGACTTTGATCTGTGTACTCTGAACTACTGTGAAGAAGAGAGTGTGCAGATAAACAGGTACAACATATGTAGGAGGATTTATTTAATCTCTGTGTATCACCTGAGGGTTATCACGTTATTGGATACATGTAAGGGTATACAACTACTTCAAAGTGATATAAAAAAAAAATAGCAAAACATGTTATACTTAGCCAATGGCTCCCACTGCTGTATTAAAGGGGGCTCCTGCACACAGAACGTTTTTTTACCTTCATGCATAGAATGTAAAAAAAAAAAAAAAAAAAAACAAGCCTTTACAACCGCTTTAAGTTTTGAAAATGAAAGCTAGAAACTAATTGGATGCATACCTGTTCCAGATTCTGTCTGCCCCTTTCTTAAAAAATCCCAATCTTTGCTTCAGGCTGCTTCAGGTGGTGTTCAGCTCTATTGCAAGTGACATCAATTGCACCTGTAAGCAGCATGAGGCACACTTTAACACAAAATAGAGTTAAAATATACCTGTTGGGCTTTTTAAGGACTTTTGGCAGGGTTCTGGTTTAACGTTTTTTTTTTTTTTCATATGACTGCAACATACAGAAACTGAATTAAAATGGATTGTAGAATATGCTAACCAGAAGTTTGCATATCTATAATAGGAAATATAAAGTACCTACTGAAATAAAAGCCATGATGGACAAAGAAATCACCCTTTTTACTTACAGCATAATCATCTCCCTCTGCCAAGGCATAACTAGGTAGCATAGCCCCTTCCATGGCTGTGCTCTTGAAGACTCCTTTTATTTTACTGCCAATTTTTCCAATGCCAGATGGTTCTCCTCCTCTTTTTTGTGTAGTCCTGGGATAAAGTACATCAAAAATGCATCAAAGCATCATGACCCAAGCTAATGAGGTCCTACAGAGCAAGTGGGGATCAAAAATAAAAGTAATTTTTGTGCTCATAGGGTGCATGCTAAAATGTAGGAAGAAACATGCAAAAGAAAAACAAAACAACTAATGCACAGTCAAATAAGGACTCTCAATATGCTATATGCCTTTCAATATTCTAGTATACTGTCAGCGTATACTATTTTATTTAATTTTGTAATTCTGCATAAGTAGGCCCTAGCCTTAAACAGTTCAAGTCAGCAGTCAGTGGTCACCTGCAGTCTGACAGATGATGCCTAACCTCACATACAGTTTCCCAGTTTCTGAGAGTACATAACAGTGTCAAATAACAGAGACCTGTAATAGAGTGTTTCTTAGTATTCCTAACAAATATAAGGGACACTAAGAAACTGTGAGACAGTCTGTAAAACTAAGGCGGGGATAAGGCAGTATCTATTAACAACAGGTAATCTGTGATGACTGATTCTTAAAGTGTATGTAAACTCTAAAAATGAACTTCTGTTCTTTGCTCCTATTTGGTCCATTAAATATGCAGATTGAAAGTGTTTGCTACAACTGTTAAATAAGTGCAGAAAAATTCTTCCTGCTATCCAGTTAGCCTGCAACTTCCAGTAGTGTGCCTCTGCTGCACTGAAACACCAAGCAGTACTTTTAGTCCTGCCCAGTTTACCTTTGTGAATTATAGAACCCAAACACCCCCCTCCCCCGTTAACAAACCCCCCCCCCCCTTTCCCGTTATGGAAATGAGAAGGGGGGGGGTTGTTCTACAGTCCTGTCCTAGAGTGACAATGCTGCTCCTTAATAGATAAAAGTACAGGAGTTAGACAAAATTATGGAAACACCAGGTTAAAGAACGAATTTGTTACCCAATATGGCGTTGGACTGCCTTTGGCATCCAAGATGGCCTGAATTCTCCTGGGACTTAACAAATATAAGTCTTGGATGATGGATAATGGAATCTGATACCACTCTTCATGCAAAAATCATTCCAGTTCTCGCAAAAATGCCAGAGGGGGAAAATTGTTCTCCAAAATTGACCATAGTGGCTCTATGATATTGAGGTCCAATGGCTACAGAACTCAGGGAAGGTGCTTCAGCTGCATGATTGTCACACCACGATTTGACAACACCAGCTGTGTGAATCGGAGCATTATTGTATTGGTAAATGGTGCTGTCTTAGGGAAACAATATCTGTATCAAGGGGTGCACATAATCGGCCAAAATAGTCGCTGGCAGTGATTCTACCTTTAAAGGTGATAATGGGACCTGCAGAATACCAAGATATGGCTGCCCAAAACATAATTGTGCTGCCACCATGCTTTACCATTGGCACAAGACAGTCCTGGTCATAAGCTTGGGACAGTGTATGCCACGTGTAAACACGTCCGGTGGTTTGGGAACAGTGTGAAACTCGATCTATCGGAGCATATTACAGTGTTCCATTGATTGATAGTCCACAATTTATGGGTGTTGCACCACTCTCTCCTCTTCGGAGCATTAATATCAGCCACTAGTGGTTTGGCAATTGCAGCTCACCCATGAATGTTTTGCTTATGGATTTCCCTCAGTCCACAGTTTTTGTGGACACGGGCTTTGGCAGACTCTTGAAGATTGAGCTCTGCGGTCACTTGTTCAGCAGTTGTTTTCTTATTCCGGGTCCAAATAATGCACAATGTCCTTTTGTCTCTTTCGGTAAGCTGACCATATTGACTGCGCTTATGCTCATCAGACAACGTTTTCCCTGAAACTATATATGCGGTCATAACCTTTGATACTGTACTTCACGACATGGCAAATAAATTGGCAACTTCAGTCACAGAGGAACAGTTCAGTAAACTCTAACATGGCTCCGTATTATTAGCAGTGCCTGTAGTGATTGAGGAAAGTGAGGCTTCCCACCTGTTTGCTAGGTGTCTCATCACAAAGCGGAAGCAAAAAAATTTTAAATCACGTCTGCTTTCAACGCAAAACATGTCGTCCCTTTCACACCTGCAAATCATTAAGTGTTTCCATATTTCTGTCCAACCCCTGTACAGTGAAATGAGCATTGTCACCCTAGTAGAGAAAGTATGTTAAAGGATCAGCAGATGAATATAAAGGGAAAAAAAAGGCCTTAAAATAGAAACAAATACAACCACCATATCTAAAGTATGAAAGCTGCAATATATTATATTTTGGTTTTCAGCTTAGACACAGTTTAAGAGTCAAATAAACTAAGTAAAGCCAAGTATAGGGGTGAATGTTAAAGGACAACTAAACCCAATAACAAAAATTAAATATATTGCAGTGTACAGACCTGAGATGTGTTGGCTGCCATGACTTTTTCAAGATAATAAACATTTTTAGCAAATACACAAATTATCAGTTGATTTTGCCAGAAATGGAGTGTCCTTGTCAAGTTCTGTAAGCGGCACAGACATCTTCCTTCCCAGCTTTCTTCTGTAATCCATAAAATACCCTACCCCTCACATAATGGAGATGACCAGAAACAGATATATTTGTAGTTCATATCAGAACAGCAGACAGACAACCATGGGTGACAACCATGGCTTCTTCCATAGAGGAAGCATGAAGGGTTGATGTAACTAACCAGGGAAAGGAAGCGTGCAGTATTATCAGTGAAATTAAAGCAAAAGAAAAGAAGCTTAAAAAAAAAAAAAAACAAAAAAAAAAAAACACCTAATGCAGCCACCACACCACGTAGTAGTAAACTACAATATAATAAATTTTTGATTTTGGGTTTAGATACACTAATTTATGACCAACTGTTAAGATTTCTGCATAGGCTCAGTGGTGGCCATCTGTCTTTAGCAATGCTCAATAAAATAAATGCATCTTCTCTTTCCTGTCTCTACAGATGTATTTTGTGTAAAATACTTCCATCTAAAAAGCAAAGCAGTAGAAACTATAAAGGCTGTCAGTTTAGTATAGAGGAAGTTACAGCACTTAAATACGTATCTATTCATACAGCTGAGCCAATGCAATCATTCTCAACATCACAGTGAGGATAACCAGATAATCAAGGCAGCCGTGTTAGAAGGATCTCCTGTCAACATTTTCAGGTCCAGCATAGTCATTTGCTGCCATGCTTTAAGTGTAATGACATAACAGCCAGGCATACTGCCTTTACAAGTCTTACCGGTTACTTCAACAAGGGTTTTTTTTTTTGTTTTTGTTTTTTTTAAATAAAACCTGTTAAAGAAGCCTTTAATATAAATTCTGGCTCCATTTTCATTTTTGTTGTATACACAGAGGTCCCACTTAATATAAAGTTACTATTATTTAAACTTAAAATGTAAAGGCAGTATATATTTTGTTTAAGAGAGGTCATATCCTATTTTCACCCTTGAGCATATGTATATACATTACTGCATTTCCAAAGCATACAATGAGCCAATATGTTGTGGATGGCTATTGTTGGTCTCAATCAACAAAATGGTATAGAAGCCTGCTTCAGGGCAGATTTTTTGGAATTATAAGATTTCTGTCTGTCCTGCACCAGTCTATTCACATGCTGATCCAACAGACAGAGGTTTGGAGGGCATTTGAATGTTACCATTTTCATTGTTTTGGGCTACATAAATAAGATTTCCATGTTGCTCTATACCAGGGCTATCCATTCTAGTTGCAGACAAAAGCCTTATAATGCCCTGATTTTTGAGTAAACACCTTGATAAGGCAGCTAAAAATGACTTAATCCTTTACAGAAATCTTAAAACTGAAGCATGCTCATGGACTTCAAGATTAAAGCTAGAAAGTTCTTTTTTAAATGGACGTCTGTTTTTTTTTATTCTGAATGATGTAAAAGGTATATATACATGGGTTAGACAAAAAAATGTAAACACTACATGATCTGCAGGTGTGAAAGTGACATGTTTCGCATTGAAAGTGGAAGTGATGTAACCTTCTTTTCCTTCCACTGTGTGATGAGACACTTCGCTAACAAGTGGGAAGCCTCACTTTCATCATTCACTGCATGCACTGCTAACAGTACGGAGTCATGCCCGCTTAGCTGGTGCCTCTGTGACTGTACTTGCCAATTTGCTGTGCCACGAGGTGCAGTATCAAAAGATAATGGCGGCATATGCAGTTTCCGGGAAAATGTTGTCAAAGCACGGCCAACATGGTCGACAGACCAAAAAAGAGACAAAAAGACATTGCGCAGGATTGTGACCCAGAATAAGAAAACCACTGCTGCAAAAGTGACTGCAGAGCTCAATCTCAGTCCCGTGAAGACCGAGTCCTGTGAAGACAGGGTTTTGAGCTCTGCAGTCACTTTTGCAGCAGTTGTTTTTCTTATTCTGGGACACAATCCTGCGCAATGTCCTTTTGTCTCCACCATGTCAGCTGCGCTTATGGTTATCAGACGTTTTCCCAGAAATTGTATATGCCTCCATAACCTTTGATACTGCACTTCGTGGCACAGAAAATAAATTGCCAACTACAGTCACAGAGGCACCAGCTAAGCAGGCACCAAAAATGTTCCCTCTTTGAAGCTCAGTAAGTTCTGACATGACTCTGTATTACTAGCAGCACACAGTGACAAAAGTGAGGCTTCCCACCCATTAGCTAGATGTCTCGTCACACAGCAGAAACAAAAGAATGTTACATCACTTCTGCTTTCAATGCAAAACATGTCCTCACTTTCATACCTGCTAATCAGGTAGTGTTCACATTATTTTCGTCCAACCCCTGTAATTGTTCTGAGTATGCGTGTGAGTCATGATTACATACACCAGTTAGAGTGAAAAGAGGACATAAACTTCCCCTAGAACAATGAAGTGTAGACATAAGAAGTACAAAAGTGCAATCACGATACTACACAGTGAAGCAATTCCAACATGCTGTCAGAAAACTCACCGTATATCATCCAAACTTAGGCTATTTCTGCAATGGGTACACGGAAATACAATTTATAGTCAATATGTTAAAATACAAGCATCTCGCTTGATCAGAAAAAGAAGGAATGTTTTATTGTCTCACAGAATGTAACATTTGTTGTACTCTAACAACTGAAGTGACTTGAAAAAGTAGAGGATTTATGCACACTTGTTCTGCCATAGTTTTTCAGATCCTTGCTCTCTTTAAGAGCTACAGACTCAATCTGCACATCCAACCTGCTCCAGAATGTCTGAGGCCTGTTTCCCTCACCTCCTGCCGTGGTTCTATCCACTGACCCCTGTCTCTTGCAGGGACATGAAGCCTGGTTGGGGGATTTGTGTCAGATGTGAAAAGGCAAAAATCAGAGGAACAGGAGTTGGCACCGATGAGTGTAAACCCTCCTCATTTTTAGGTGGTTTTTTTTTTTTTTTAACGTGACAACAGAGCTGCTTTAAAGCAGTTGCATATTTGCACCTTTGGTGTAAACAATAATATTGTAATGAACCTTATTAAATCATCCATATAAATTTAAATATTTTGCCAAGGTTTGCCTAACTTAAATACTAAAAGGTCCCTATATATTTTTTTAAAACAAACATGTTATACTTACCCTGCTCTGTGCAATGGTTTTGTACAGAGCAGCCCCGATCCTTCCTCTTCTCCGGTTCCCTGCCGGTGCTCCTCCCTTGTGCCGAGTGCCCCAGAGGAAGCTCTACGGGCACTTGTGCATGCTCACTCCCAAGCCACCTCTGTGTCAATAAGACCTCCCCCCCCCTTCCCTTCCTGTTCCCTCCTCACTGGCTGTGATTGACATTGGTTCTGTGTCTCAGCCAATGAGGAGGGAGAGACCCGCTGCTCTCGTGCACAGCGCTGGATCGTGATCGGGCTCAGGTAAGTTTTAGAGGGGGCTGCAGGGGGAGTTGCACACACAGAATGCATGAAAGTAAAAAAACTTCAGCTTTTAGAACCACTTTAACTGTTGCTAAAATAAAAAAATGGTGTATGCCTAAATCACCAGAAAGCCTCCAGGTTTCTGTGGAAGAATGAGTACACAGGAAGTACTGTCCCATCCTCTACAAGTCCCATTATTCAATACACCTGGGGAAATTCAGCCAACTGGCCAGTTAAAAGGTGGGGGGTGGGGAGGGACAGGAAGGGAGCTGATTGGTTGAAACTCGCACATTAAAAGAAAAAAAAAAAATCAAGCAATTCCAGTGACAGGTATATTATTCTTCCATTTAGTGCTACTGAATAGAATGGGGACAGTGCAAATGCTCCACCAATCAGGAGGGATAAAAAGAATGGGTATGAGCTCTGACATTGACAGAAACAGAGGCTGCAACTGCTCTATGTTAGTTAAGTTAACCTGCTGTTATACTGGCCATCCTGAATCCACACCCTGAATAAAGGACCTGGCCCTAGTATGCAGATAAGGACTTCTGACTTAATGTATACTTGTTCCAAGACAGTGACTCAAAGTAGTAATAATCGAGTGGTTCAAGATAAGTGCCAGGCAACTAGTATTTTCAGAGATCAACAATGGCAGCTCTCACATTTCTCTTATATAGGGTTTACTTTAAGATTTTTTATTACAACATATCCTAGCAAATGTATTGTTTGTTTTTTTTTATTTTGAAGTCTAGTAAGTATCTTTTACACGGTCCTCACGAATGTCTCAGCACCCAGAATAGGCCATTCTCATTCCAGGGCTGAATGCAAATAGACATGATCATTCCCTGTAATTCTGTAAGTAGCATACTGCAGAAATCAGGGAATCGTCTAGCATGCATTAAAGGGAAAATGGGTCTATAACAAAAGCTGCACTGAGCAGATACATCATGAAAATATTTATCAACGTTTTCTAGCTTGACTTCCACTTTAGGTCCAAAGCATGTCATGTGCAACCCACCATAACAAGATATATTTATTATTTTTCAGTTTTAAGATTAACTTCTAAAAAATATTACACAGATTAGGATAAATACCATCAGCGGCCCTTTTTTGACAGCCAAGATTTTATTCAACAGGGGCTCTAAATTAGAATAGTCAAGCCACTATAATCTCCATATTCCAACAGGACAGAAAATTAAAAAGAGGGAACACTCTAAGAAGGCATTATGTGTTCTCTTTAGGGCTACAAGATTGGTAATAACTTCACATAAAATACAACATAATATAGTATTTATAGCCAAAATAATCTTTTTTTATGTATATTAAACATCAATACATTTAAAAAAAAAGGAAAAGAAAACATTAAAAACTGGTTATAAATTACATTTCCATGCTAAATAGTACTAACAATATTACTATTACATACTACTTAAACGTTTACCACAATCCACTAAAGATGTAAATTACAAGCATTTTATTTTGCTTTTACCATGAAAATGTTCGGCATATGCCTCTGTCTTGTTGTTGGTGCTTACTATCTACAGGGGCTATACATGTACTCACACACACAAAGATTATACAAATTCATAAATTCATTATAGCATAGCTATACCTGTTAAATTTTGAGCTGCGTGTTGGAGACTCTGCACCTTCAAGAAGCTGCCTAAAATACTAAAAAGGCACAAAAAACACAAATAAATCTTAGTTTACAACTGATAAAGCCTATTTTAATTCTAAACTTGCAAATTGCACCATATGAAACTCTGCATTTTTTTAAAAAAACATGTTATAGGACATGGAACAAATTCTATACCTATAGGTTTTTTTCTATAGTATTAACAATTACAGATGATAAACTGCAGCTATTAAATTAACTCTGTGAAGCAAAAATAAAAACTAAACAAAACTCACTTAAATTGTCACAATTTATTTCATTTTATTGGGATTTTTTTACAAAAGCCAGAGAAGGAGATTTGGAGGTACTGCCCATAGAAGAGAACAGTATCGTTCAGAACAAGAATCACATCTGGCTTCTTGAAGAAAACATAAGCTTTGAGACAGAGTAGAGACTGTTGAATTAGCAAAGTGAACATGCACTGCACTTACTAAATATGGTGAAGCTGTGTTCACTTTGATCAATAACAAAGGAAATAAAAAAACAAAAATCATAGGTGCAATTTGGTCATTGTGTGAACACAACTTCATTTAATTTACCAAGTTCAGTGAACATTCACTGTATTAAAGTGTTCCTAAACCCAGGACCCTGCATTCACTATCTGGTCTCCCACAGTGCACACTACGTGGAAATGCAATTGTTTTAGTAAATATAAACTGCTAAATACCTTTTCTTATCAGTAGTTAGAGCAGTCTTGTGACTTCTATCAGTGTTCAGAAGAGCACTGGTTAAAGTTTGTAGGAGTTTTCTTTCTGCTGTAGGAGGATGCAGAACCCCTGACCAATGTCTGACCAGTGCTGATTGGCCCTCTGCTGATCACATGCACTCTCCCAAGAAAAAAAAAATCTCTACCAATACACATTGAACTGAGCATGTGCAGAGTGTCTCCATACATAAATCTTATCAGGAGATAAAAGGGGGCACTGGAAGAAGGGGAGGATTACAGAAGTCAGGATCAAACAGAATTTTTACACAATGCAAAGGATTACCCCTTAGGTTCCACAGTGAGTATAACAAGCATGCTTTACTGCATATACAGACTGATTTTACTGTTGAGGGTTTAGTAACACTTTAAGTGAACAGTAGCTACTCCTTCAGTAAGTCATCCATGAATTCTCAACTTCATATTTTAAACATTAGATCAGGGTTTCTCAACCAGAGTTTCTTCAGAAGTTACTAGGGGTTACTTGAGCAAATGCTGCCTCTCAGATAAGTTCCCAGTGACACAATTGATCTTTTTAGCCATCTGTAAGTGGATGATTCTTCCCAATGACCACAAGTGTAAGGGGCATTATTCCCACTGACCACCACACTAATGTATCATGAGAGGGGGTTCCTGAGACCGGAAAGTTATTTTAAGGGTTCCTCTGTGTTGAAAAGGTTGAGAAAGGCTGCAGTAAACCAATAAAAAAATTGTGTTACAGCAAACAGGATCCACGTGAAAGCCTTACCTCATCACTGTGGCAAAACATTGGTGTGAAAACATTCTCAAGAAGGGAGAGAACATGTTCATAGGCTTCAAACAGGCAACGCATAGTTTGGAGTTTTACCACTTCTTTATAAGGACCTTCTGCAACTGCAATAACAAAGTTTACACAATTTTACAATAAAATGAATGCAGGAGTTTCAACATACATCTTTAGCAAGAGAGCCTACTAAAGCCCATTGAAAGACTCTACAAGTTGAACCCATCCTGATCTATGAATGCTTGCCATACATGCTGCTCTTCAGATTTGCATTTACAAACAGAAGCCTATATGAACTTGGCCTAAGGGCCAGTTCACACCAGAAAAATGCACTCTGGATGCGTTTTTGCTTACAGTTCACACGACACTCCGTTCCGGTGCAGTTTGATATGTTCCAGTATGGTTCTTTGCAGAAATAATGCAGCATGTTCTACTTTTTTTCTGCACCAGAAACTGACTGCACTGGTGTGAACTAGGGCCATTGGAATAAATGGAAAACACTGTGCATGCATTTTTGATGCAGAAAACAAAATGCACTGGACTGCATCTTGTGTGAACTAGCCGTAAAAGTTCAGGAGAAGAGAGGGATTTGGGCTTATAGTAAAAAGTTATGTCATAGCTGCCATGGTCACACACTTACTTCGTTGTATTTCTTCCACAATAAACGGGTCAAATCTGATTTTATCAATGCTTTCTTCCAGACAATAGGTTTGATAGATTTTCTTCACTTCCTCATGAAGGGAGAATTTTTCCTCATCAGACAACTCTGGTCTTAAAATCCTGTCATTAAATTCCTCTGTAAAGAAAGCAAGCTTCTGAGTCATAACATACTATAATAGAAACAGCACCTTAAACATGCAAAGACAGACATTCTAGCTATCAAATACATATGGGCCAATAAAGCCATTATAATGAATCATAGCAAAAACTCTAGAATGGCATATTTACTTTTATTTTAATGACCTGGTACATTTAACAAACAAAATTATGTGAAAGTAAACAAATGACTTGGTTCTTAACCAGCTCTCACGCCTGTAGACCCCCTATGGACCAGAGCAATTTTTACCTTTCTGCTATGGACCTGTTTATTCAGCTATTCTGGTTATTGTATTTACTCATATAGATTTGTGATTGTGGGCTTTATGCTAATGAAGAGGTGCCTACTGCTGTGGCAAAATACGCCTTAGCATTTTTCAAACTGTTTTTTTGCAATTTACAAAAAAAAAAACAAACAAAAAAAAAAAAAACACTACTAAAATACTGTATGGGCTAATTTTTTTTAAATGATGCAGTGTTTTATTAGCATTTTTTACTGCATTACAAAAAAAATATTGCAAGCTTTCACAACTAAAATACAGCATGAGCTATTTTCTGGAAGTGATGTGGTATTTTAGTAGTTATTAGCGGTATTTTAATGCCGGCAGCCTCCAGCGTCCTTAACCAGTGAATAACTGACTGTTACTGTCAGCGCCTGCTGCATTCTTGACAACCGTGACTCATCTTTTGCCAGTGGGATTCCCCTTTAATAGCAGAACACAAACACAAGAAGTTCTGGCATTAAAAAAAAAAAAAAAAAAAAAAAAAAAAAAAAAAAAACAGCGTAGGGGAATTTTGAGGGGGAACCCCAAAATAATTGAAGAAAAAAAAAAAAGAAAAAGAATGGTGTGGTCTCTTCCCCACAACCCTGCGCTGGTGGTTGCAGGGATGCGGATTAACTTATCAGAATCTGGAGGCCCCCAGCATAAATCACAATGAAAGCTGACTGCCGGTCCGCATGAAAAAAAACCCTGACACGCACTGACTCCCGACGAATGACAGCTCCAATGCTGCTAAACTAAGGGGCGGGCCCCTGGTGTCTACACCCCCTCGTGATGTCATCAACTAGGGATTGTTGGATTTACTTTGAGGGAACAATTTTTTTTCAAAAGGCCTTGGTCAAGAACGGTCTCTGTGTTTATACTTTATTTTTTTTTTTTGGTGAATGAGTAGGGGGGAGGGGGGGGGGCGGCAGGATCTGGGGGCCCCTCTGTTAAAGGGGACTTCCAGATTCCAATAAGTCACCCCCACAACCACCGGGCCAGGATTGTGGGGAAGAGACTCCTGTCCTCATCAACATGGAGACAAGATGCTGTGGGAGGGCATGTGGCCTGGTATGGTGAGGGCATGTGGCCTGTTATGGTTCATATGGAGGGGAGGTGGGGGGAGGGGAGTTCGCTTGCCCACCCTCCCTTCCTTTCCCGGCCCATCAGGCTACATGCTCAGAAAATGGACTGGTATGAATTTTGGTGTGGGTTTCCCCTCAAAATCCATACCAGACCTGGTATGGATTGGAGGGAACCCCGCATATTTTTTTTTTCTACATTTTTTGATGTCGGCTCTTCTTTTGTTCATGAGATGACCTAATATATACATATTATAAATAAATGTAAAAGCAATATATACAAAGTGACACAACGTGCAAAAGAATGTAATAGTGACCTGATCCTCCTGGGATCTTCAGATATCTAACTGTGACCTAATCCTCAACGGATCCAGAGGTGAACACAGTGGATACTAAACCACCACAAGGATGGTAATAGTAGAGTTATGTGAACCAATACTAAAGCGTATGGTATAAAGGTGAATAAATCCTGAATGGGACCTGAAGTGATGGTGAATATAAATAAAAATATAAAAATATATATAAACTTAGTCCAAATGGGGACTAATAAGTGATATGTCCAACAATTAGGACTCAAATTAAGAAAAACACATAAAGATGAAAGTGCATAAACCATGCCTAAAAAATAAATGAACCCCAAACACTACATAGTGTTTCCATACACAGATATATATATATATATATATATATATATATAATAAACAAACAAAAAATCTATAATAATAGTGCAAATATCTGTATGACAATATCATGCAAAAAACACATGACCCAAAACAACAAATAAATATGTGAAAAGTCCAAAATTGGTGCGGAAAACACCATGTAATCCAGAAAACAAGACAACACTAGTGCCCATGGATGGTGAATGTGGGCAACCACAGAAGGGTATCCGTAAGTAGCTGAATTAGACGCTCACCTCCTTGCTTCAACCTGCAAGGGTCAAAACACTTTTGGGATCACAAAACCGGATCCTCCATGCATATGATTCCTCTAACTGTGGATACCTCTCTCTTCAAAGATCTCCCTCTCAGGGATGTGCGTATAAGTGGCAATATCCTCTCCAGGTATATGGGTAGGGTGTAAGCCAGTATCTGTCTCCGCTCTGCCCCCGGCACCTTCACCAGCCAACAATGAATGCCCCACAGTAAATCTATGGGTAAGGTCATACATATCGCCCAGGCTCTGCAGCCATTCTTGGCGATCTCTGCTCTTCACTGAAACCAGCCACTGAAGAGATGATGTGACCAGACTGGAGTACCCTCAGCATAGGTAAGTATAGACATCTTTCCTTTACATGGTAGCTAGAATAGACTTAAAATAGAAGTGGGAGCAGGATTAAGTATAGTTAGTATTTGACTGGAATTTTACTTTAAAGACCAGTGAAAATCTCACTTTTTTCATCCTCTATAGTTTTGGGCTGCCAAAGGTTTTATTAAACTGATATTCTCTTAGAAATGCCTTTTGATAACTTTTTATCTGAGTGGAAATGCACTTCCTACTATCCAAAGAGAGTGCTTGGCATAGATGTGTAACAGTCACACACTTCATTACAAGTGTCCTCACACAGATCTGAGGGAGGGAGTGCCACACCAAGTCTGTTACTGAATGTGCGTTGTCTAAATATGGCGCCTGCTGGACTCCACATTCATTTTAAGACTCCCTGCACAACGTTTGTGAGAGGCAAGCAGAGGTTAATATATTGTCTATTGGATAAAATATCTATTTTTTTGCCTTCAGTTGGGCTTTGAAAAAAAACACACAGAACAATCCTTTTGAGAGTTCAGGACAGCATACACAAATCAGTTTTTGCCATCTGGGAATCCCAGGGAAAATGGTTATTTAGTTGCTTGTTAGCTTATCTCTTTATTGGAAGAAGAAAAAACGACTAATTTATTATATCATTTACTACTCCCTTGTTGTAACTCAGGTGTTATTCAACAACTGCATAAATAATAAAACTTACCCACTGTCAAACAAAATTGTAGTACATGGACAGCTCCCTCTTGTTTTAGAAAGTTCATAAACCGGAACAGAAGGTCCTGCTCTTCCCTGATTTCTTTCAACTCCAGCTTCAGAACCTTATGGAAAACAAAGATTAAAGCTTTGTTTAGCCTTGCACAACCCCTCTTATATAGACTCATGTGGCTCTCAAGAAACTCACAAATAAGATGACACAGAATATTTAGTAAGACTAGAAGCATTGGAAGCACGGCACATACCGAGGGATTCTTATTCTTAGGCTCAGAAAACTTTTGCAGAAATGCAACTAAATTAGAGGCTGGTTCTGTTGCTTGTTCTGGCTGCATAAAACAAAAATAAGATGTGTGTATTATCACAAGATACTGACATTACAATCTTCACAAAACCTTTCCATAGTTATTGAGAAAACACTTACAGGGCTGTCATCCATGAAAAGGAGTAGTAAGCGATTCACATTATCCTAAGGAAAATATAATTTAGAAGGAAACTTAAAACTTATTCTCAATTAACATTCAAGAAAACAATCCATAAAAAAAATTACAAATCATTCAGAAAATTAACAAAAACATTCAAAAGAATTAAATGTATGAACTAGCAATCCTATATTCTGTTATTATGACAACCCCCTTCTACAAGTGTGTCATGACAGAAGGTCTCCTATACTGTTTTGACAAAAGCCTCTGCATGTTTGGGTTGTCAAATACTTTCAAATGTTATGTCCACACCATTGGAAAGCAGAGTGCTTTGGGATATTGCATGTCATATGCACAGTAAAAAAAGGTTTGCTAGGTATTAAAGTGTATCTACCCCCCCCCCCCCCCACAAAAAAAATCCCATTTATCTTCACAAGTTATTGCTGTGAATAACACTCTTCCTGTGTCTTCATGTCCACACTCACTTCTCCATGGTTTCTATGGAAGGAGCCATGTTTGTCACATAGGCTGGACTTTAAATATGTCTACCTTGGTTCACCTACATTACATGATGGATCAATGGGATTACAAGTTTACAGAAAAAAGATAACATTATTTATGTGGTCTTTTCAACTCACAGGAAAGGACACTGTAGGATCAACAGGTGCTGCCGGACTTGCTAAAATGTTCTTGGCTCAAAAAGTGAAAAATAATGCATCCAGCACATCTAAGAAATATACACTGCAATAGATAACTTCTTTGGTTTTAGGTTTAGATAATACACTAGTAAACCTGCCATGAGAGTAACATGGAAGCTGCTACCTTCCCATTTTGATTCTTGTGTCCATATGCACACGAGTCAAAATATATTAGAAAATACAGTATGTACCAATTCATAAAGAACCATAAAATATTACCAAAATGGAGGATTAACAAAACAACTGAAATATTCGTCTTGCTCACTTGTTTCACCCCCAGTCACTACATCTCATCTTTCTCAAACACTTTACTCTGTCTCAGCTGCCAGTAGGCTCCTTTTCCCCATTCTTTTCTAACTTTTCTAATAGTCTGATTTCAGCAAAAATAACACTGTCAGTCTCCTCTCCAGAGGAGCCATTGCGTCCTCTATCTCAGTGCCTTTTTACATTTAAAAGAAAAGCATGAGTGGTACGTACTCTAATTGCCACTGAGCAAAGTATATGCCCATTTAAAAGGATTATCAGAGTAAATATAGGTTTTTTTTGTTTCACATCTCCATCCCTTCTCTTTTTGCCCTCACTGTTGTATTCTTCCTATTTGATATTAGCTGACAAATATCTATTTGTTAATATAGATTGCTAATACAGATTCCTCTGGTTCTGATTTGATGTTTGAGTTTAAAGCCCCATTCACACTGTCATGTGTCCCTGCTCCCATAACCACAAGAGGCCCCACATGCTGAATGGCACCCCAATGCACCTCGTCATCAGACGTGCGCTGTGCAGCACCTTACTAACATTTTTGTAGTGCAGTGCACTGTCAAAAAAGGTGCAGGTCTGATTTCTGGGTCATTGAGCTGCATGCCAACCCATACAGTTTGAATGGGCTGCCTAACACAGCATACATTAACGTGTGCAAAAACGTGAATGCTTTAACGCAGTGAACTTAGCCTAAAGCTGGCCATACACTAGCAGAATTTTGTTAAAATTTTTCCTTGTTTTAAAAATGATGTAATGATCTTCTGATTGTTTAGTGGGGTCAAACCGACGTTAGTGTTTGACCACAGTGATATGAAAATTCCAAGAAGCAGGGTTGAAAAAACTTTTCTGCAATTAATTTTTAATAATGAATGAGTTTTCGTTTGGGAAAGTCCATTCATTCCAAAATTTTAAAAGCAAACAATATTTTGAAAAAAACTTTCACAACATTTGTCAAGTCATCCAATGTGTCGAGAATTTTTGTACAAATGTTCATATCTACTAGTACGTGGCCAGCTTAAGTCTTCATTCCTCTGTTCCAAAGAATACACTTTTTATCTGATACACCTTTTTAGATACAGATAGTTCTTGCAAGGCTCATTCAAGTACACATTTTAGGGCTCGTTCACACTTGGCTGTTTTGCCAACGCTTGCCAAACGCCCCTATAGCGTTTGGCAAGCGTTGGTCCGGCGTTTGCTGAGCGTTTTTAACGCTCCGCAAACGCCGCATGCGCGGTTTAGCGGCGGTTGCTAGGCGTTTGCCGAGCGTTAATAACGCCCCACAAACGCCTATAATGCAGTTTGAGTGGTGTTACCGCTTCGCAAACGCCCCGCAACCGCGTCGCAACCGCACCGCAAACGCCGGCCGGGCGTTTGCGGAGCGGCACCATAGACGAGAATAGGAGGCTTCAAAGCCTCCTGACTCGTCCAGAGGCGTCCGTTTTGCCGCGACGCAACGCGACGCAAAACGCTCCCGTTAGAACAGCACCATGTGCTGTAATGTGCAGAGTTGGCAGAGGCGTTTGGGAAGCGGTAAAAACGCTTCCCAAACGCCTCTCTGCCGCCTGCACACAAGGCTAGTGTGAACGTAGCCTTAGGCATGCTTTTAAGTTAAGCTTCATCTAGCGTCATCCTACAAATTTCGTTAAGCCTCCAATGGTGCAATATGAATTGATATATTTTTTACACAATGTTTTTTGTATTTATATACAGGGGTTAGACAAAAACATGGAAACACTACTTGACTTGCAGGTGTGAAAGTGACGGCATATTTTATGTTGAAAGCAGAATTGATGTGACCCAGAATATGAAACAACTGCTGTAAAAGTGACTGCAGAGCTCCATTTCATTCCTGTGAAGGACATTTGCAGCAGTTGTTTCTTATTCGGGGTCACAATCCTGCACAATGTACTTTTGTTTCTTTTGGTCAGTTGACCACGTCTTCAGCACATGCTTATCAGATGACGTTTTCCCGAGAACTGTATATGCCGTCATAACCTTTGATACTGTACCTTGCGACACAGCAAATAAATTGGCAACTTCAGTCACAGAGGCACAGCTAAGCGGGCACCAACACTTTGCCCTCTCTGAAGCACAGTAAGCTTTGACATGACTCTTCCCACCTGTTGGCTAGGTGTCTCATCACACAGCAGAAGCAAAAAAAATGCTACATCACTTCCGCAAAACATGTTATTTCCATTTTTTTGTCTAACCTCTGTATGTACATATGTACATAAGATCATATTTTCTTATTTTATGTTTACGGTTTGGCACCAATTCATACATGTTTAATGGATGAGGGAGGTGTTCACAAAGTGAACTAAACCATTATATTATAATACACACAATTTAAAGTAGAACTATACTTTCTCTAAAAAAAATGCCTCTGAAAAATGCCAAGATGATGTGTTACCCTTATTGAAGAAGTAATTTTTCCATCAATAATGCCTGCAGCTTCTTTTCTTAGAGCTCCATAGGACATACTCAAAACAATCTGCTCCTGGGAGACAGGCTTTACATTCAGCTCATTGTAGAGCAGATCTTCTGCACGTAAATGGCACCCTCTGGTGGCAGCCTGGGACAGACAACTTACACATAAGGCAAATGCAAACACATGACTTGGCTATGCTGCTGGATACAGGATTTATCTTTTGTAAAAGTAACCAGTCAAATTGGCATTTTTTTTTTCATAAACTGTAGGAAAAAATACCTGTATATAATATATAATATTTAATGAGAATGTAGTGTTATTTTAATAAGGAAAGTAACAGCTTACACAGTGAAGTTATCCAAAGTAAGCAATCCCCTAGCAGTGCTGATTAAAATGATGAAAGATAATGGATCATATTATTCATAAACACAGTATAACTGACACTCTGGGGACAAATGTGCTCTACGCAGCTGGCATGCCGTAAAACAAGATTTTTTTTTAATTGTCTTAAAATCCTTTGCTTGGAGTCTATTGAGCAACACAGGAATTCAGATACTGTTGGGGGCATACTGCTGCTTACAGAGAGGATTGGACACTGACAAGCAAAAGAAAAATTGTAGGTTAGCTTCAGAATAAAACAGCCCATACATTAATCAGTTTTTTTTAGTAAAATCAGTGTGTTCATCAAAACAAAATGACTCAATGCCCCCATTCTGAGCTAATGTATTCTCTGCAGTCAGAATAAACTGATCAGCATCAATGTCTATAGCCAGAGAGGCAAACTTCCCAAGAGCAATCAGCCTGCCACTTGTAGAAGATGGGTCGTTCATGAAGAAGGCTTTTCAGAGAATTTAGCAGGTCTCTGACTTTGAGCCTTATCGGCTATCTGAGATTCAGGGCCTGAATGCACCTACTGCAGAAGTGAATGCAGAAGAGTGGGATACAGCCAATCTATCCTGCTCTGGCCTCCAGTGGCATTTCTAATAATTTTGCCGAGAACCAAAAAGACAATATCCCTCAACGGCCAAGTGGGCCAGATGCTCTTTGAATATGGCATCAATTCCCCAGCATCTTAACCAAAGTGCTTAGTGTATGGACATTAGACCCATTCAGAAGTTTAGATGCTTGTAACAAACCAGACATTTGTTCCACACACTCAATTAAGAAGGGGTCTACCACGACAATGTAGAGATCCTTTCTGAGGGATTTAATTCATTCTGCCACTGTTTGACAGATGTGTGTCACAGCCAATATTAGACCAAGGGCAGAACTGCTAGAGCAAACAGGGATTAAGGAAGGGATTCTAACTACCTCTAAGTAGAATCTTTAAACGATAAAGCACGCCTTCTACATGTATAGTAGTTTTCCTGTTAGGGTGGGTCACTGGTGGATGCAGTTGGTATAGACCACTAACTAGGCCTCATTCACACCATACATGCAGAAAAACTGATGGAAACTGACATGCAGATTTCACTTGCAGAGACATCAGTTTTCAAGTAGTTTTATACATGTTGCAGATTCCTGCACAGAAACAAATCTGCAGGATACTAGTGTAGTGTGAACAGGGCACATAGAGAACAAATGACTGTGTTGTGCCCTTGCAGAAAAACGAACATTTCTGCACCATGGTGTGAACGAGCCCTAAGGCCTGGTTCACACCTATGCTTGTCGCAATCTGCTGCAGGAAAAAAAAGTGCTTGACTCTATCCAAAAAACACAGCAGCTGAAAACACATAGATGTGAACGTGTACCATAGGAAACCGCATTAAATAGACTGTAGTGAGTTTCTGCAAAATGCAAAAACCACCAGCACAGTTCCAACACACCTACAGGCAGGCCCCTTCTTGTTCACCTTGAGGAATACCTTGATTTATGGGTGTAGAAGAAAGATCTTCACATCTCTAGGAGCTTTGAAGCTCTGAAGTACCCAAGACTGGAGATAGGAGGATCCTCCAAATGCAGAGTAGTAAGCACTGTATCAAAATAGTCTGAAAATACTTCTTGTAAGTTTGGGATGATGACAGAAGATTGCAGGGCCTCAATAACAGCCTCTCCAAAGAAAGACTGTAGGGACTCTGAATCTGAGTTTGAGATGGTCACAGTGACTGGTGATCCAGCCTGAACCAAGACCTTGGGAAGGTTAGAGAAATTCTGCAGGGGATGGCATGGAGAGCCTCTGCAGGCAGTATCTGCAAGGAATTGGGTGAATTTGGCCACAAAGCCTTGAGTCACTGTAGTAGGGGCCCTTGATGACAGGGTAGAGGCCTCATTCTGCAGAGCTGAAGGATACTTCAATTATGTAGATCCTATAGCTACAGGGTAACAGGATTCCAGTTTAAAGGCTGCAGTTCCTTCAAAAGGATACCAAGAATATGCCCTTGGAACTGCTGGGAGGGCCTAGGTTGGGGTCAACCACAACAGTGGGACTTTCTCCTCTGTGCAGTCATGTTGCATCCACATGACAGTGATTCAACCGGGCTCAATGTGTGAAAAAAGGCCTCAGGTACTCAAAAATCCCAGGCAGCTGGAATTGTTTAGTGCCAGATTGCCATAGGTGACCAGGTCACTGTAGAAGTACAGTAACAACAGACATGCGTTCCACATCGTGCTATGCATAGCATGAGTGTGCTTTTTCGATGCTGAAGGGCAGGAAAGGAATAACATTTGCCACTACCCTTGCTGATTAATTCAGCCTCAGTTAACCCATTCTGCTGTGGTAAAACCAGCAGTAGTGGGAAATTCGAAAGTCACCCCAGCAAGTAAACAGCAAGGTAGCTCATGGTTCATTAGCCTGAACAACGTTACTCAATATAGAGAATATTCAGAGGCATGGCAAGTGCTGAGGCAATGCCACAGCCCTAGCCTGGGATAATTTTTTTAGCTAGAGGTCTGGAAAGCACCACAATAAGAACCCAGTTCCCGAAGGTCACCTTCCAGGCTAGCTTGCGCGTCCAGTCACGGCACTCCAAGCACAGACTGAGAAAAGTCTGAATATATTCTATGTACAGACCAACTCAAGTAGAGATGTAGCAAGACATCAATGGGAGAAGAATCCAAAGAAAAAACAAAACTGAAGAAAAAATGGATAGCAAAGACTAGTTTAGACTTTCCTCAGGACAGCTGCAGAGAAGACCTCTATTTCTCCAAGACACTATAGGGTTATCCTGGGCTGGCCTACAATTTTTTTTTTCGTTTGCCAATGTATGTCCGTTTGCGGTCTTTGGTGGTTTGAAACTTTCCATTTAAAACTAGGAACTCAAAAATCTGCACTTGAAAACTAAATCAAATACATATGTAGGAGTCATGGTTTTTACTGCCTTTCAAGCCACAAATAATACTTGAACTCATAAATGTAAAAAAAAACTGCAACCTATAGCTCCATTTCTAGCTTCAGGATTCAAAAAGGTACTACTTTTGCCAATAGTGATAGACTGAATTCTGAATTTAAAAGGTGATTGCTGCTTTAACTGCCTTCCAATGCTGGTCATAAAAGCAAAAGTTTAAGCACAGCCTAAGCAGATTGTCAGGTAACACCTCTCAAAACAGGAGGACCCACGTTCATTTTTGCTGATTCTTCCTTGCAATATAATGTGCCCAAAAGTCTATGTTTTTAGTCATGTGACCTGGGGGAACTTCAGGCAACATTTTCAAAGGATGGTAAGTATTTCAATCATTCTATAGCTTTTTATCAATCTAGCAGGGTTGCTATAAAATTTTAAGATTATGTTCAGTATGCCCATGAGGACCACAATCCCCCAAACCTACTGGATCGGCAAGGAAATCCATTGAGGGCAGGAACACAGATCCAGAGAGAATCTCTCTCACCAGCAATGTAAGAGGTCTGAAAAACAATGCATAAGCTATGAAGAGTGGATTTAAAGGAGTATAATTTTGCTACTATTACACAAATATCACTGATCACACTAAAGTTATACTACTACTACTACTACAATGACAAAAAAATGCAGTTTTACAATTATGTACTCTTTTAAAAAAAAAAAAAAAAAATAAAAAAAATAAAAAAAAATAATATATAGGATGGAGTTATTGTAAAGCTTAATTTGTTGTGGCTGTCACATTTTTACTTGTAGCTGTGAAATATTTTATTCTGGTATTCAATACAAACATTTGTAGAATTTTCCCAGAACATTCGAATGTCATTTGAAAGATTATGTTTGCTTTTGACAATTGATTTGGGAATGAACAGATTTCACCACACAAAAACCACATACACTGTTAGAAATTTGCTTAAGAAAAAATTTCCATTCTGCTCCTTTGAATTTTCTTGTCACTCTGGTCAAAACAGTCAATTTGACTCACTGATTGGAAAAAAAAAAAATGAATAAACTTTCTTAGAATATTCTTTTCCTAAGAATTTCCTAATACATTCTACAATCTATGACCAGTTTTAGGGCCTGAGCAGTCCCACAAACGTGCAATTAAATAAAAAAACAAATTAAAGACATTTGTGTTGCTCTAAGCAGGAAAAACACCTTTGCACATGCAGCATGAATAAAATATTACGTTTTGTTCACTATCAGCCTATCATTACAGGAGAAATGGATGCTTAGCACATAAAAAAAACTGAAGGCCTGCCCCCTAAAGGCTATAACCCTTCCCATCTCACAACTTGCTTGGTATGCTTAATGTATTAAGGAGAATGGATGTCTCCTTCCTTCGATAGATTTTTTTTTTAATTGATTTAGAAGATTTTCTACTGTCAACTACTGCTGATGGATTCATGCCGGATATTTACAAATCATGAAAGTCAGCCAAAAGAGCACTGGTAGACTGATGCCCAATGTATTAAAAAAACAACCCTGTCTGTTTTCCAGCTATCACAGCATTTAAGGTCAGGCCAGTGTTTGTTTGAGGATTCCTTGTTGAGTGTCAGGACCAGGTGATTCTAATCCAGTCTCTGACCTCTCCATTTTAAGAGTATGTTAAAAGTAACCTTTGCTAGGGTTTTAAATCATGTTTATCTGATGTATCGTTATGTAGCACTACTGTAGGGGAAAGCACTTTGTTAATATAAATACAAGCTGGTACTCTCTTTGGACTTTAAGGGATTGGGTCTTCCCTCCCTTTTATTGCTGCTGTTGAAATCTGTTGGCATTAAGGAAGTGTTTTCTTGTCCATTCGACTATCTGCAGTTCCCCATTGTTTGCGGTCTGAGGATAGAGATGGCTGCTTTCCTTCACAGTTCCATACTGCTGCTGTATGTGTATCGGAACTCTCAGCAGCTCTGCCAGTTTTCTTGCTACAGCCACCTGCAGTGACAGTTGACACAGAGCCTTGTCTGCTTTAACTCTTGATACATCGATCTGGGTCAGCGAGTATTCCAAAGGTATAAGTAGCTGCTTTATAGCAATACGTCCACCAAGGAGATAAGTTTATCTTGTACTTCAAGTCCAAGTCTGAAAAATCTGTCAGTAACCCTTTCAGAATCTGTTTTTTTCTTTACCAAGGGTTCTTCCTCCTCTATCGAAGGCTAATTTTATTTCTGTTATGGCAGGTTTTATACTTCAGTTGCAGAACCTTGTCATTTCTTTTGCTTGCAAAGGTCAAAAACAACCGCTGTTCCATTCCCCAGCAGAATCTAATACAGAGATGCCTACAATTTCTGGGTCAACCGAAGACCTTACAGAGGACCCATTATTGGACACTGCATATCTTCCTTCCCTAGAGAACAGAGACCCAACCAGCTGAGTTTCAGTCACAACTTGTATCACAGCACAAGAAAGAATGTGTCTTTGAGGGGTTTATTTACTAAAGCTGGTGAGTGCAAAATCAGTCTCACTTCTGCAAAGAAACTAATCAGCTTCCAGGTGTTATAGCCAAAGCTTACCTAGACAAGCTGAGGTTAAAATTTTTAGTTGAAAAACAAAATAGTTGATTGGTTTATATGCAGAAGTGAGTCTGATTTTGATCTCTCCAGCTTTAGTAAATAAACCCCTGTGTGTATCACTTTAAATTTAGAAGCCTGCACCATTACTTCACTTACCCAATATCTAGCTGATAAACCTGAACATGCTGCAAAGGGTTTTCTTCTTTGTCCCCTATTTGAAAGATTCATTTACAATGACTGGAAATTCCCAGACAAGCATTTTTTTGTGTATCCATGTGTAGTATACAGTTAGGTCCATATATATATTTGGACACAGGCACAATTTTTGTTTTTTCAGGTATTAACCAAACATATTCAAGCCATAGTTATATAATGGATATGGGCTGAAAGTGCACACTCAGGTTTAATTTGAGGGTATGTACATCCACATTGGAGGAAGGGTTTAGGAATTACAGCTCTTAAGAGTAGCCACCCCCCCTTTTTCATGGGACCAAAAGTAATTCGACAGTTGAATCAAAAGCAGGTAAAAGGTCTGGTAAAAGGTCTGGAATTGTTTTCTAAGTGTGGTATTTGCATTTGGAATCCATTGCTGTGAACCTACATTATGTGTTCAAAGGAGCTGTCCATGCAAGTGGAACAGGCCATTGTAAGGCTTCAAAAATGAAAGAAATCGATCAGAGAGAGCAGCAACAATAAGAGTGGCCAAATGAACAGTTTGGTATATTCTGAGGAAAGAACACACTGGTGAGCTCAGCAACATAAAAAGGCATGGACGTCCACGGAAGACAACAGTGGTGGATCATCACAGGATCCTCTCTATGGTAAAAGAAAAACCCATTCACAACATCCAGACAAGTGAAGGACACTCTCCAGGAGGTGGGCGTATCATTGTCAAAGTCTACAAATCAAGAGAAGACTTCAAGAGAGCAAATGCAGAGGGTTCACCACAAGGTGCAAACTATTCATAAGCCTGAAGAATAGAAAAGCCAGATTAAACTTTGCCAAAAAACATCTAAAAAAAGCCAGACCAGTTCTGGAAAAGCATTCTTTGGACGGATGAAACTAAGATTAATCTGTAATTTTCAAAATAAGTGAGCGCTTAAAAACAGCTAATATAAAATCCCAAAGTAAAAGAAGAAAACAGCAGCTGAACACCAAAGAGGTACCATATGAACCTTCTCAATAAAATGCATACAAGGGAGAGGTGCAGCGCTAGCTATATGAATATACTTATATATCTGATAAGCATACATATAAATCAATAAAAAGTGCTATTAAAGTGCAGAATGGTGACTAAATGATGAATTCCAGTCCATAACGTGCTCAGAATCCAAGAGAGTCCTTTAAGAGCTCCAATCCCTGGATTCGTGGATGAGGTGAATAAAGGTAAAATTGCGCACTCACCAAATGCGCAATTCAAATGCGCATTCAAAGCTGATATTCCGAGGTCACCATATGGATCTGGTCAGATCTGGTCACAGAAAGCCCTCCGCCACCTGGTAGTGTACTCCACACTTAGAGGAAAAGGCCGCTCTGCAGATGTAAAGGACTCCCAACAGAGCCCAAAGAACAAAGGAGGCCAAATAGTGTGATACCAGATAGGTAAGGGGTATTTATTCCCAAAAACACACAGTAATATACAGGCAGAGGCAGGAAGGATACTGACCCATACAGTGGATATGTAATGGATGGCCGCCGGGGCCCTCGTGGCGCCGGTCGGCGTGACGTCACACTGCTTGTAGCCGCTCCAAGGGAGCGGCTACAAGCAGTGTGACGTCACGCCGACCGGCGCCAAGAGGGCCCCGGCGGCCATCCATTACATATCCACTGTATGGGTCAGTATCCTTCCTGCCTCTGCCTGTATATTACTGTGTGTTTTTGGGAATAAATACCCCTTACCTATCTGGTATCACACTATTTGGCCTCCTTTGTTCTTTGGGCTCTGTTGGGAGTCCTTTACATCTGCAGAGCGGCCTTTTCCTCTAAGTGTGGAGTACACTACCAGGTGGCGGAGGGCTTTCTGTGACCAGATCTGACCAGATCCATATGGTGACCTCGGAATATCAGCTTTGAATGCGCATTTGAATTGCGCATTTGGTGAGTGCGCAATTTTACCTTTATTCACCTCATCCACGAATCCAGGGATTGGAGCTCTTAAAGGACTCTCTTGGATTCTGAGCACGTTATGGACTGAATTCATCATTTAGTCACCATTCTGCACTTTAATAGCACTTTTTATTGATTTATATGTATGCTTATCAGATATATAAGTATATTCATATAGCTAGCGCTGCACCTCTCCCTTGTATGAAGATTAATCTGTACCAGAATGACAGGAAGAAAAAAAAAGTGTGGAGAAGGCTTGGAACACCTCATGATCCAAAGCACACACCGTCATCTGTAAAACCTGGTAGAGGCGGTGTGATGGCATGGGCATGCATGGCTTCCCGTGGCACTGGGTCATTGATGTTTATTGATATGACAGAAGCAGCCGGATGAATTCTGTAGTGTTTAGAGATTTACTGTCAGCCCAGATTCAGCCAAATGCAGCAAAGTTGATTGGACAGTGATTCACAGTACAGATGGACAAGGATGCAAAACACACTGCAAAAGCAACCCAGGAGCTTTAGAAGGAAAAGAAGTGGAATATTCTGCAACGGCCGAGTCAGTCACCTGATCTCAACCCAATTGAGCATGCATTTCACTTGCTGAAGGCAAAACTAAAGGCAGAAAGACCCCCAAACAAAGAAGAACTGAAGACAGCTGCAGTTAGAGCCTGTCAAAGAATCAGAAAGGAGGAAAACAAGTCTTTTGTAATGTCCATGGGTTCCAGACTTCAGGCAGTAATTGCCAGTAAAGAATTCTCAACAAAATCTTAAAAATTAACATTTTATTTATGATTATATTCATTTGTCCAATTACATTTGAGCCCCTGAAAATGGAGGGACTGTGTATAAAAATGGTTGCAGTTCCTGAAATTTTGGACTTGATACTTATGTTCAACCCCTTGAATTAAAGCTGAAAGTCTGCACTTCAAATTCATTTGGATTGTTTCGTTTTAATTTTATTCTGGTAGCATACAGAGCCAAAAGTACGCAAATTGTGCCTGTGTCCAAATATATATGAACCTAACTATCTCCAGTGACTCATCCCCTGTCGAAGATGCTCCATCATTTAAAGACCTCACTGACAAGAAGTTAACAGCACTTTCTCAATCAATCAATCTACTTTGTGGAATCGGCCCTTCAACCTTTCCTGGCCACTGTTCCTATTTCCCATACTTTATCTACTTGGTCTAAATCCCTATGTAGGAATCAGCCAACTTTTGACATTGACCCTCATTTTATTAACTGCAACCACCACGACTATCGCATCAAGTTTTATTTGCAATGTGATACTGGATGCTAGTTCTGTTCCGGGCATCCCTTTATTCAGTTCAGATTCCCAAAGAATTCTGGCTTAAGTGCTGGTGGGTAAAGCAACAGTTTAGTGGCTTGTTACAATTACCCTTCTTGGAAGACAGTCTTTTTGGATCTTTGTTGGATGAGATCATTAAAAAGGCTGTGGGGTGGGGGTAGGAATACTTGCTTTCACCAGCAGTGTGATATCCTGCATCAGAACAGAAGTACAGTCCAAGCAGTTCTTAGAAGATGCACATTTCTGTGGTGGATAATAGGGGCCTAGATCTGGAAGAATGGTCTCTCTCAGGAGGTGTTTCAAGAAATTGGTTTGCATTGGAGGATGCTGGATATGGATTTGCTAGCATCTCAGTTTAACATGAAGTTGGACAGATTTCATCCATGGATCCATGGGTGGACACAGTGGATGCCTTGGTAGCGTCATGGGGTTACTATGCCATTATATATTATTTTCCTCTGTGACAGCACTGTCTCTATTGCTGCAACCCTCCCACTGTGAGCTGCAGTGCCTGGAAAAGGAACCATGTGAGGCAGAAATAAAGTCAGATTTTGCTCAGACAGGGAAGGTAGAATATTTTTTGTGTACTATGAGGACTGTGCATCGCAAAGTAGGTGGATTTGAGACTTGTCCAGACTGTCCTACAGAAGACTTTAGTTGTACTTTAACTGAGAAGACGACTTTACACAAGCCAACACTTTTAAGCAAAGGGTGGGCACTCCTTTTCTTGGCAAAAAAACCATGCAAAATACGTTTTGATTCACAGTCCATTAAATGCTCCTGACACAGAAGATTTCTCTGGTAAAACCAGCCCCTTGTGTTTGAATAAAGACAATGATAAGCCATAATGTCCATTAACCAAAGTTTTTACATATTTGTAAAAAAAAAAAAAAAAAAAAGTGTATCTGCCTCTGAATACTGTATATCAACTGCATCATTTGAAATGTCAGAACATGGATATCTACTCTGCCAGCCCTGCATGAAAAATATAAAACTTTATTTGCAGTGACCATAACCAGTAAACACGAAGAAGTGAGAGCAGAATATACTTTATACAAAGGAACACTTGCCTGCTATCTGTTGCTTTAGGAGGTAGAATAAAAGGAAAAAGCAGCTCAGTAAGATTTCTGAGGTAGCAAAGCTCATCTCTGCGGCTTCTCAATGCAACATGAAGGTCAGGCCCATATTCTTCCAAGGCTGCCTGCTGCAGGGACTCAGAGTTTTTCACTAAAGAGAATGCAGTAAAATTATGGTTCTATGAAATCTAACACACATAACATTAAGAAGAATGTTGGACTGATTGCTTTAATTTACCTTTGTGTTTTGCTTTTGAAATTATTTCAATGTGCTTCATTGCAGCTTTTAGCAATTTTCTTGTAATTATAGATGGCATATCCACCTAGAAATGAGAAGTTAAAAAGTTTATGAACCGTATCTCACGTACATGTAAAATAATGTCTACACAGTCTTGGATGGATACTTAAAGAGAAACAGATTTTTATATGACAGTGACAGTATGGGGGTAGTGGGTCTCAGATCATTATTAGTTTGAATGGACCTGTATGTAAGACGGATTAAAAATAAATTATTGTCAAACTCAAACACCAAACAGTGTTTTACAGCAGCAAGTGTCTACACTGTGAAAAAAAAGAGCAAGAATTCTAAATTGGATATCCCCAAAACAGGAGAAGAAAACCCCAAATCATTGTCCATATGTATAAAGGTGTCTTCAAAAGGAACAAAAAGATGAATTTCAGGCAAGACATTTGTTTCACAGTTACATTGATCCACCTTGGACCAATGTCACTCTGCATACCAAACCTGTGGGATCTCTCTAGAAACTTGAAATCACTGCCGTAGACACCACTACTATAGTGATGTCTACTAGTGTTTGGGTCCCATGCCAAGTGGTTGAATGATTTGCTCAGAGAATGCTTTGCTCAATGAATGCAAAGTGTTTTCTGATTGGACAAGGTGGAGAGACAGGATGGCTACATCCTCCTCATCCAATCAGAGGATGCTCTGCATTCACTGAGAAAATGCCATACCTGAATTTCTTTAAGGAAAAATGTCTGTTGTCCATAACAACAACATTATTCCTTTTTCACAACACCTCAAGCATTTGGGGCAAGTAGTCCAGGTATTCTGCAGTGTGTAACAGATCCAGAAAAACCCAGCTGGCTTACAAACACTAGTGAAAAAGAGTATGCTCTTGGCTGACAATGCTTATATAGTTCCACCTCCGTCACTTAGTAGAATCAGAGCCCACAGTATGGACATAGAGCCTCTCCTCTCTCTGGTAAATAACCACTGATAATAATCGATTTAGCTTCCACCGACCATCAACCTAAATAGCACTTCTTCACTAACTGCTAACTCAAGGGGTCACCACCCCCAGCAATCACCAACTTAAAGTGGTCCTGAATTCTAAAGAGAAAATGTATGATTTTACAGAATAAAGTAACTAGAAATGTTAACTGTTCCTAAGCAGTACTGTGAAAAGTTACTTTTTGCATTAAGTTCCTTCTGAAAAATATCAGTACACTTCCTGGTATGTCAAGGTGCTCATAAAATGTACAATTTGAGATCATGTATGGCATTGCCATCTCATCCATTCTGTGAAACTGAGCTTTCTGCACCTCTTCTGCTGCTTTGCAATCACTATAGTTAATGATCAAAAAGCAGCAGAGGGGGTGCAGGAAGCACAGTCAAAAGATCATTATTCAACAAAAGGGCATCTTTGACAAGAAGCAAAGCCCTGCTACCAAGATGAACCCATCCACACAGAGCCACAGTGTGGAACAAGGCATGGTAATTCAGTAGTGGGGAAAAGATCAGCTGCAGGAAGTCTACAGACAATACTGCAGACTAATCATTTATTCTCTTGTGTTTTTTTTTTTTTGCACAGCTTCCTTTAGGGGGCATTTTCCCCACATACCACTCTGCACACCATGTAAAGCCCTAAGACATTCCTGGCTATTCCACTTCTTTTTATACTCCTGAGCACTCCACCCTTCTTACTAAAGTATTCACAGTCTTGATAAATACTGGTTTCTAAGTGGTCTCCTAAGTTCACCTTTAAGATTGGTTCAGAAAAAATGCAAAAAACATTCTGTTCGCCAAGGAGTATACAAGTGTGGAAACTTAAGAAAATCCTGCTGCAGGCAAGGGTATAATACATTGAAATAAAGACCTGCTAATATGGAAAACATTACTATTGGGTATTTTTCTTCAGGTAGATTAAAAAAAAAAAAAGCACACACAAAAATTACCTTTTGTATTCTTCGCACAAGAACAGATGCAAAGAATCTAAGGGCCAGTCTCAATTCATCAACAAAAGACTCATCTTGAGTAATATCACTGCCAGCAACAAAAGAGGGGAAAAAAAAAAAAAAAAAAAAAAAACAGTTATGAATATAGTGTCCCTTCAACAAAAGTTCTGTTTCTGCTAGCCAGAACAGCCTGTTGATCAATTTACCATATCAATGGACAAGTTTTTGCCCAGCGGACAGACATATGCCTCATTAGCTGCAGTTCCTGAATGCACACACTTTAATTGCAAATATATTACTTGATTTTGGTGGAACAAACAACAAAATATAGGAATTCAGGAAACATAGGAATGACAGGAAAAAGCTTCAAATTGTGATGTCCTATTTAATCCTTATAAACCCGCTTATGTGGACAAATGACTCTGTGTCTCTTACTTAAATCAGTAGAATGAAGGCACACAATACTTACCGATACCATGGATAAACAAAGTTTTCCAGCACCAGTTCAAATACCTGTACAGAAAATACATTATAAGCACAAAGTGCTATTATTACTAAGAAACAATGCACATCAATTTTAAAAATGAAATTACATTTATATTAATAAAAAAAAAAACTCAACTTCACAGGAAAACTAAATATGTAAATATGCAAACAGGCATGCTCTTTATTGCAGAATAAACATACTACGATCCTTCTGCAGTAAAGGATTCTTACCTGCCTATTTGCAATGTTCTTGCAAATGTACACCGAGTTGTGAATGAGCAGCTTAGTGTACATTTCTGACAGGTGCCTGGATAAACTGAACCCTGAAGAAGAAGATGGGTGAAGAGGTTGCTGCCAGAAAGGGAGCTTGTGAATGTTGCACCGCTGGAGAGGAGGAAAGTAAAGTTCTACCTTAACGTGGAACGATAGGCAAAACTATTTTTTTCATTTTGGATAAAATTTATTTTTTTTTCTGTGTCCCATTGGGGACATTTACGTTCACTTCCTGTCCAATAGCAAAGCATGAAATGAAGGAAAATCCCTGCAAATTAAGGAAATTCCTTGGGGACCCTCAAGTCACCAGAACTAGTATCCCCACTGGACAATTTCCCCTGTATTAATTTTCTGGGGACAACCCAAAATTTGGGATTTTTTTTTACTTTGACTTTAATGATAATAGTAAACAGAGGGGACACACAAAGCAATACAAATCTAATGGATTGGAACTCCCCACTATCCAAAACGAAAAAAAAAAAAAAAAAAAAAACTTTGCCTTTATATACTTTAAATATCTTACTTTATCTGAGACCATATGCAGGTCAAAGCTCATCCCTCATCAAAGCTCATCTGCAGATAAATGAAGCAGAGTAGATACAAAGTTACATTGTTACTTTGTATCTCTGTTTATAAATACTGTTCAGGAGTATGATACAGAGTGTCAGATGGTCCAGTTTTAATAGCAGCAGCTTCTACAGCTGTTGTATTTATACAGCAACTTCTGGCCCCCATTCTGACAGTTGGGAGCTGTCGAGCAGTGCAAGGATGAGGGAGTGACAGCAGAGTAGGACAGCACATAGTACACACTCTCTGCATACAGTGATGGAGATTTTCTGGGTGTGTTTAGCACACAGTGTCCTCACCCAGATAAAGCCTACCCCTGCTTGTTTTCACCTTGAAAGTGATCACTCACTGTTCTATCTTCTGTTGCAGTTGCTGCCAATTACCAAGCTTCTAAGTATGGATGAGCATGTGACCTTCTCTAATGATGCAGTGCTGGTACCTACTAGTCAATCACTAAGCCCAAAACACGGTCATATGTGGATTGATAAGCATATTATCAAGAGATGATATAGGTGCCAATTACACATGGTTTTCAATTAAAGGATGAACTCTTGGAAGGAAGGAGCCTCCCTACACTGGAAGGGTTAAATACTCAATCTAGGTGTGCAGGGAAGAACTGTATTACTTGCCTCACTCCTGAACCTGGTAGGGTCCCACAATCTAAGCAACGAGCCCCCCACTAAGCTCTCTCTAATGCTTGTCTCCTTGTAGGCTCACAAATCACAGGCTCGCCTCCCCATGTACAATGCAGAGCTATTAGTCTCAAAGTGTGCAATGATACTGAGGGATCACCCAAAACCTAAATCTTGAGGACAGCAGTGAAGCCTGCCAAAACCAGGACTAAGGCAAGTAATACAGCTTATCCCTGCACTCCTAGATTAAACAAGCATTTAACGGTCAACTCCACCTTTTGGACCATGGTATCAACTATCTAAATGTTAGCAACCCAAAGTTTAGTGGATAATTATTTATAATATCCAGTACAACTGTTGTATGTTCTTGCTACAATTTTAGGTGCCAGATGATTGCATAGCTTTAGCCTGCTGTCACTGAAAAAGTTCATGAGAACAGGGGATTTTATCATTACAGTCTCAAGTCAACTTTATAAAATGTTACCTCTGATAGAGATGCATCAACCTTTGAGGGAACCTTCAAATCAAGCCATGGCTGATAGTTTTCTAACTGTAAAGTAGGCCTGAAAGCAGTAGAAAATGTTATAAATATGTTATAGTCATTGTAAGTAATGGCCAATACTATTTATTAATTTCATTTTTCAAGCTTACCTATGTCTTTTACATTTAACCTTGCCACACACAGCACAACTATGTCCTAGTGGGAAAAGTTCTTGAAGTTCAGGTTGCTAAAGATACAATAATGCATTTTGTTAATGTTACCTTTTTTTTTCATGACTTAAAGCAGGCACACAAACCTATCAGTCGCCCTACATATTATTCTGCTTCGTTAACATTTAAAACTTTTTTTGTAATCCCTCCTAAAAACACACTGAAACTAACACAGATGTGAACACCGACACTAAAACGGATTTGCTAGCTAAGAGAAGATGATACAATGAGGGATTTGACTAAAACTGAAGAAGACAGAATCTGGAGCAGTTGTGCATAGCAACCAATCAGCTTCAGACCTGAACTTGTGCAGTTAAGCTTTGAAAGTGTAACCCAGAAACTGATTGGTAGCCATGAACAGCTACTTCAGATGCTGGCTGCTCAGACACAGCATGTATGTGGCACCCCGGCAGAAAGCTAACCTCCACGATGCAGCAAATATGTGTTATGTCAGTGAGAATGGATTAAAATACAGAGTTCAGGGCAGTCATTCTAAACTTGGCTGCATTACTTAGGGTATCCTGGTAGCCCCTTTTAAGTTAGAGCACTTAGTGTTTTGATGCTACATTTTAATAATCTATTGGGAGACTTATTCCCACTAACAACTGTTTAAGAGAAGGTGGACTGATCAATCATCCGCCCGTCTTCAATATATAGCTCTTGTTTCATTAATAGAATTTGTAGAACATCTTCTACTAATGGAGGAGTTGTGCGGGGAAAAGGAGGGTTAGAGAGCCTGTGAAAGCTTCATAGTTCTATTAACTCCTTCTGAACCAGAAGATTACGGTGTCAAGGGTAGGTGGGGGACATGCACAAAGGTGGATTTCACCTAACAGAAGAGGCTTCAGCACAATGGACACTTTACAAATTTAGTAAGCGGGCTAGCACAAATTAAATGCCAGACTGAAAAATCAGAGACACACAACAGTTAAGTCGTGTCTCAAATAAGTCAGGGAGTGTTTTTTTTTTGTCTTTTTAAGTTTGATCAAAGGGTAACTTTCACTGCATTGACTAACGTCTGTGATCCAGGCCACCAAAGGTTATTGATATACAGGATTTATATAGAACCAACAGTCTGTGCAGCACTTTACAAAATAAAGACAGACAGCAATGTTACAAAACAATTCAATACAAAAGTGTGAGGTGGACCCTGCTCGTGACAGCTTAAAATCTAAATAGTGACACTGTTTAAAGAGGAACTTCACTCTGGGGAAAAAAAAAAAAAAAAAAAAAAGTTAAACGTCAGCTGCTACAAATATTGTAACAGCTGACTTTTAATAAACATGTATATACTAGCACAGGGCTGTGGAATGTTTTTTAAAAAACTACAAGGGACTAAATCGGGGTCCCAGTCTACTTGTCCCTCATGACAATCTACTTGTCCTGATAAAAGGGCTGACTATCCCTTCATTCAGCAATCACGCCTCTGACCATACCTATAGAGGTGTCCTACTGAAAGTGGGGATGGTCCGAGGGTGGCATGCGGAGCGCGGGGACGGTCCGAGGTGGCATGAGGAGCGCGGGGACGGTCCAAGGTGGCATGCGGAGCGCGGGGACGGTCCAAGGTGGCATGCGGAGCGCGGGGACGGTCCGAGGTGGCATGCGGAGCGCGGGGGACGGTCCGAGGTGGCATGCGGAGAGCAAGGATGGTCCAAGGTGGCATGCGGAGAGCAGGGATGGTCCAATGTGACATGCCACCTCTGATTATCCCTACGTTCAGCAATCACAATGCTGTGTGTGGATGTGGCAGGTGGAGTAGATAAGTAGTAATAGGACAGAGTTTAATGTGTGTTGCCATTGATATGTCCTGTATGGTGGTCTAGGTCCTGAGGCCACCTACCCTGTGTGTGTTCTGCATCAGAGTGTGTGCAGACGGAGGGATACAAATTGAGAGGAGAGGGAGTGCTGAGGTGAGGGGTCCGGGAAGGGAGGCTTGTCAGTGTGTCCAAGAAGGAAGAAGGAGGAGAGTAAGAAGTGTGGGAGTGGCCAGGAGAGTAAGAGAAGTGTGGGAGTGGGCAGGATTGAACGGGGCTGCCGAGCGGAGTGGATGAGCTAAGGGAGCCACCGAGCTAGTGAGAGGCCGGCAGAGAGGGGACTGCCTGCACCGGACAACAGCATGGATGAGTGGGGAGCCTGCTAACTCAGGTGTAGCATGAAGATCTGTTCATGCTTCACTGGTGTTGGCTCTGCACAAAAAAAAAAAAAAAAGTGTAAACCCTGCTGCTTACCCACAGCAGGGCTAAATGTAAATAAAAATCACCTGCCCAACGCCCGTAACTGCATATCTCGGCATCAGGTGAAATGAATTGCACATCCTTGCTAGCATCTACACGCATATACCAGTAATTCATTGGTGTCCTCACCTGGGCCAGAGTGAGTACAGCTCCAAAAAAAGGAAAAAAAACTCCAAAAATAGTAGGGGGAGGGGAAAAGCAGAAATTCCTTTTTTTTTTTTTAGAAATAATTTTTTTGCACAAATATTTTCAAATCAGAGCAGCTCTAGTCTAATGGTTACATACCTTTTGCTTGTATTTGATATTAAATAGAATGTTAGGTAGGAGAGAATCTGGTTCCAGTGAACAGTATAATGTGACAACTCCAGCAAGAAATGACCAGAAGATCATAAGAATGTGCAGATATCTGGAAAAACAAAAATGAAACAAAAAGTAAACACACAGCAGTAACTTAGAAAACTTATACAAAACTAAATCCACTGATTTAATGTTTCCCAAAACAGTTACATTAAAGGCAAGCCATGACTGGTGGCTCTCACTGTTGCTTTCAACCAAACTGTCAAACCACCTGGCATCATAATTGATCACATATGCAGCAACATGGCAAGAGCAGATCAAAGAGAGGTTAAGATGACAGCTTCCTTGGCAAAGGATATCAAAGGATAGGAATTTTTAATTCCTCCTTAATTTTATCAAATGATTTAGGAAACACTCAATGCAAGGTTTTGTTACAGCATGAAAATGACTTCATATATAAGAAAGACTTCTAAACATGAACAAACAAAAACCCCCTAAGGCTGAATTCACTTTTATGGGTTTGCACTGAAGCACAATCTTGACGTGCTTCATCATGAACTGACATGCGATGCCACTTATCCTAAGACCTTATAACATGCATTGATTGACTTTGGCCAGTGCATGCTACCATGCTACATGTACAGTATGTGTGCTAATACTAGATATAACCACAGCACTTTCATCAGAATCCTAACATCTTTGTACAGTTATTAAATCTAGTAGATATAGTAATCATACATCAATGATCCTTTTTTTTTTTTTTTTTTTAAATACACTTCTACACACCATAAATTCTGTACAGTTTAGTTTGCAGAATAGTCTGCATCCTCATCAATCTTTTTTCAGAACTCACACAAGCTCCGACCAGGGGAGTGCGCTTCTGACTACTAGATCACCCAGCTTTCAGGACTACACGTCCCAGCATCCTTTGCGGTAACAGTCGAGTATGCCAATAGCCTGTGCAATGCCTCTATGTACTTTTTAACATGTGACCGGATTTTTTACTTTCTTATGAAAACAAACTAGAGGTCTGCACTATTGGATGTGTCTTTGCTTCCTTTTAATATACCTATTCCTGTGAGACCGATAATGACCAGGTGAATGCTGAAGAAGGTCATGGTCTCAAATATAAAACTGACCCTCCTTTTGCAGTGGGGTCCATGATATAAGATGAGGAGATACCCATGAGGTGTGGTGAAGGTACGGTGGTGTGTTTGTTCACATTAAAGAAAGTCATATTGTTGTTCTGACAAGAATATATCGATTGAAGATTGGTTGGTGTATGGGACTCTTACATTGGACTATACTTTTTGTTTTTATATGCTTTAACACCTATACTGTGTGTGTATATACCGGTATATATATATATTTTTTTTTTTTTCTTTTTTCTTCACATTCACAAAAGGATACTGAACACGGGGGGGGGTCTGTTTATGATAAAGGGTTATGGTATGAGGTTATACATTTGATTTATGTCATATTGGAAGTGCTTCACCAGTATTTGACTTCGCAAACGAGACTGCTGGAAGTTGAAAAGAAGCACCCAAAAATTACTATCAAGGCACAGCTTTACAACAAAAGGTTACGCTTATTGCTTTGACAATTTTATAAGGAACATATGTTAGAACAAAAAAAACAAAGGTTCAATATCACTTTAAAGCTAAAGTTTGGGTATGGCTATTTTCGCATAGATCCACCTTGGATTAATATAAATGTGTGTGCCATACCTGGCCAATTCCCCGTGGAAGCTGGAAATCACTGTAGCATGCACTACTACAAAGATGGCAGCTAACTTCTGGGTTCCATGGCAGCTGCCCTGCTGCTTAGTAAGCACAGGCGCCACTCAGAAAACACTGCATTTTCTCAATAAATGCAACTGTTCTCTGATTGGATGAGGTGGAGATCACCACGTCACTACTGGACTTGACACCTCGTCCAATTACAGAACACTTTCCTTTCAAGATAAGGTTCAACTTCAGCTAAAAAAAATTTTCTTTGTTTTTCTTCCTTTAGGTTTTGGCTAGAGCATGGGAAGGGTTAGAATCTGTTGGGTTTTATTGCAGTCTGTGTCCTCAATGAAGATAATTTAGCATCTCCGAAACCACTCTACTTCTGGGATTTTCACACACTATGGTCTCCAGATTTTACAGAGAATGGTGCAACAAATAAACATCCAGTAATAGAAAATAGCCCTATGATAAATATAAAAGCGGCAATTTCTGAGAATGCGAGTTGGCTGTCTGTAACTGACTGCGGTACTAATTCTGAATCACTGACCTAAAACAACTATGCAAACTAAAAATCAAAGTTAGGTCTCACAGTCTGTATACTTGTTTTGGGTTATCAACTGGATATATGTAAGCCACTCCATCGGTATGACAGACAGGCAACTGGCATTTTTCAAAAGGCTCAAATAATAACCTACCTAATCCACCTAGCAATGGTGGAGAAAGAAGCAGGAAGCTGTCTGTGAGAATTCAGAGGACAAAAAGAGACTGATTGCCTAAAGAAGACTGTACCAGAAAGAAGGACTCTCATAGTGTTTACAATATCCATACTACTTGTCCATCAGGATCCAGGTTGCTTGACCTTGTAGCTGAGCGGGCAAACGTGCCCACAGTTCCAAGATACTGATGGGAAGTCAAGGTTCCCCAAAAGACCAAGACCTCCGAGACTCAATCTCAGCCCAATAGGCTGAATCCTCCATGTCTTTGGAGGAAAAGGATTTCTGGTCTCCAGCACCAGATTAGAAAACCACCAAGCCAGCAAGAGTCAAGCCTAGGAGGTCAGACACATGGGGAAATCTAGCGGAGGAGAGAGGCCAGGGGACCTGAAAATGAGGAGGATCAGGCTGCTCTGTGCAATTCCACACAGGATGGCAATTACTTTTTCACATAAGGCTGGGCAGGTGTGGACAGCTTTTTTCCCGTAATACATGAAATAATCATTTAAAAACTGCATTTTGCATTTACTCGGATTATCTGTTGTATGTTTGATGATCGGAATCATGTAAGTGTGACAAATATGCAAAAAAATTAAAAAATCAGGAAGGGGAAAATACTTTTTCAAAGCACTGTGTAAACCCATTTGTAAACGCTTTGTTTTTCTTTTATAACAATCATCTGAACTGGTTATATAAAGAATTTCTTATGAGGTGTGGTTGTTTTTATTTATTTTTTCAATTGTTTTTGTGAATGAGTAACAATAGGTAATATGTACCCCATATTCATTCATCTAGGTGGGAGGGACAGATATCTGGGGGCCCCCTTAGCCTAAAGGGGGCTACCAGATTGCTGTAAATCGCCACACATTCTCCTGGAGTATGTGGGGACAAGGCCCTTGTCTGCATCAACATGGGGGGGGGGGGGGAGACTTGCAAGGAGGGAAAGGCTTAGCTGCCCCACGCTGTAAGGTACCCTCCCAATGTTTTGCGCCTGATATGATTCACAAGGGAAAGTGGAGCGCAAGTGTTTTATGTTGTTAATCCAATGTCAGTCATGTTGCTATGTAAACTCAGCATAAATCATTATGAGCAATAGCCTGCCCCCCACCACACTCCCATCTATATAGGACATTTATGGCAGCTGTGGCAATGGAAGCAATGCATATCTGTGAACAAGGAGGCGCCCGCCCGCCAGCGTGAACGGGGGTGCAGACAGAGCTGTGAACGGGGGGGGGGGGGGGGGCGCAGCGCGCGCAGACCTGTGAACGGGGGGGGGGGGCGCGCGCGCGCAGACCTGTGAACGGGGGGGGGCGCGCGCGCGCAGACCTGTGAACGGGGGGGGGGGGCGCGCGCAGACCTGTGAACGGGGGGGGGGGGGGCGCGCGCGCAGACCTGTGAACGGGGGGGGGGGCGCGCGGGACCTGTGAACGGGGGGGGGGGGCGGGCGCGCGCAGACCTGTGAACGGGGGGGGGGGGCGCGCGCGCGCAGACCTGTGAACGGGGGGGGGGGGGCGCGCGCGCGCAGACCTGTGAACGGGGGGGGGCGGGCGTGCGGCGCGCGCGCGCAGACCTGTGAACGGGGGGGGGGCGCGCGCGCAGCGCTGTGAACGGGGGGGGGTGGGGGCGCGCGCGCAGACCTGTGAACGGGGGGGGGGGGGGGGGGGCTGGTTGTGCGCGCGCGCAGACCTGTGAACGGGGGGGGGGGGGCGCGCGCGCGCAGACCTGTGAACGGGGGGGGGGGGCGCGCGCGCGCAGACCTGTGAACGGGGGGGGGGGGGGGGCGCGCGCGCGCAGACCTGTGAACGGGGGGGGGGGCGCGCGCGCGCAGACCTGTGAACGGGGGGGGGGGGGGGCGCGCGCGCAGACCTGTGAACGGGGGGGGGGCGCGGCGCGCGCAGACCTGTGAACGGGGGGGGGGCGCGCGCGCGCGCAGACCTGTGAACGGGGGGGACGCGCGCGCGCGCGCGCAGACCTGTGAACGGGGGGGACGCGCGCGCGCGCGCAGACCTGTGAACGGGGGGGGACGCGCGCGCGCGCGCAGACCTGTGAACGGGGGGGGCGCGCGCGCGCGCAGCGCCAGACCTGTGAACGGGGGGGGGCGCAGGCGCGCGCGCGCAGACCTGTGAACGGGGGGGGGCGCGCGCGCGCAGACCTGTGAACGGGGGGGGCGCGCGCGCGCGCGCAGACCTGTGAACGGGGGGGGGCGCGCGCGCGCAGACCTGTGAACGGGGGGGGGGCGCGCGCGCGCAGACCTGTGAACGGGGGGGGGGCGCGCGCGCGCGCAGACCTGTGAACGGGGGGGGGCGCGCGCGCGCGCAGACCTGTGAACGGGGGGGGCGCGCGCGCGCGCAGACCTGTGAACGGGGGGGCGCGCAGCTTGCGCGCGCAGACCTGTGAACGGGGGGGCGCGCGCGCGCGCAGACCTGTGAACGGGGGGGGGCGCTGCGCGCGCGCAGACCTGTGAACGGGGGGGGCGCGCCGCGCGCGCAGACCTGTGAACGGGGGGGGGGGCGCGCGCGCGCAGCAGACCGGGGGGGGAACGGGGGGGGGGGGCGCGCGCGCGCAGACCTGTGACGGGGGGGGGGGGCGCGCTGCGCGCGCAGACCTGTGAACGGGGGGGCGTGCGCTGCACAGACAGATCTGTGAACGGGGGGGGGGCGCTGCACATGTACAGATCTGTGAACGGGGGGGGGCGTGCGCTGCACATGTACAGATCTGTGAACGAGGGGGGGGCGTGCGCTGCACATGTACAGACCTGTGAACGGGGGGGGGCGCGCGCTGCACATGTACAGATCTGTGAACCGGGGGGGGGCGTGCGCTGCACATGTACAGATCTGTGAACGGGGGGGGCGTGCGCTGCACATGTACAGATCTGTGAACGGGGGGGGTGCGCTGCACATGTACAATCTGTGAACGAGGGGGCGTGCGCTGCACATGTACAGATCTGTGAACGAGGGGGGCGTGCGCTGCACACACGTAGATGTGAACGGGGGGGCGTGCGCTGCACACACTAGATGTGAACGGGGGGGCGTGCGCTGCACACACGTAGATGTGAACGGGGGGGGCGTGCGCTGCACACGTAGATGTGAACGACGGGGGGGGCGTGCGCTGCACACATGTACAGATCTGTGAACGAGGGGGGGGTGCGCTGCACATGTACAGATCTGTGAACGGGGGTGGGGGCGTGCGCTGCACTGTACAGATCTGTGAACGAGGGGGGCGTGCGCTGCACATGTACAGATCTGTGAACGGGGGGGGCGTGCGCTGCACATGTACAGATCTGTGAACGAGGGGGGGCGTGCGCTGCACACACAGATGTGAATGAGGGGGCGTGCGCTGCACACACGTAGATGTGAACGAGGGGATGCATGCTGCACACACGTAGATGTGAACGAGGGGGGATGCATGCTGCACACACGTAGATGTGAACGAGGGGATGCATGCTGCACACACGTAGATGTGAACGAGGGGATGCATGCTGCACACACGTAGATGTGAACGAGGGGATGCATGCTGCACATATGTATATCTGTTAACGAGAGGATACACATGCAGATTTGTGAATGAGGAGGAGCATACTGCGCACGTGCAGAATTGTGAATGAGAGGATCAAGTGCAGTGTCCTGAATGAGGGGGGAGCATGCTGTGCACATGCAGTTTTCTAAATGAGAGGGAGCACGCTTCGCATAAGAAAATTTGTGGACAAGGGAGAGCACACTTTGCATGTTTTAATCTGTGAATGAACAATACAGAATCTCCACGTTCATTCCACTGATGATGGGTGCATACACAATACACAATCAGTCCCTGCTTATACGCAGGACAGCACAGATCACTCAGAATACTAGTTTTCTTTGGCCAGCTTTGCAGAAGCCATGGTTGGCGTACAGGTATGTAGTTTATTTCACTACACGCACCCCATTTTTATCCCTAGCAGGGCCCCTTGACTCCACATTTCATCATAAAAGTGAACTGAGCCTTTACCATTACAGCATCAAGCCCCTTGCCTGCAGAGGTGCAGAACTCTGGAAGTTGTATGTAATCATTACACAGGGATGTCTCACAGGTCCCTCCAGCACAACTCTGCAGCAGACCAGGCAGTCAATGACATGGATAACATGCTGCTGGAGCAGAGCACCATCCCCCACACAGCCAACACAAGTGTCAGTGGATTGAAGCATTAGAACACGTCTACAGCAGGTCCCAGGTGTAAATCCCAGGATCGGGATGACAGAAGCAGGGTACAGAAAGTAGTATGGAGGGAGGAGGAAGGAAGTCTAGGAAGGAGCTCGTTACCTGAGCAGTAGGAGGGTGGACAGGGACAGAGTGAGTAGACTGAAGCACAGCAGCGGGTACTGCCTGCAAATGTCCCGCACAGCTCCGATCCGAGCACGTTGCCTTAGATGTGCCCACATTCTGCGGGCCGGTGACATGACAGCTCCCGTATCCAGCCCTCTCCTCCTGAGCCTGCTCTTCCGGGAACGTGATCAGGCGGCCTCCAAAGACGTCATCACAGACTGAACTGCTTCCGCCATTTTGGAGTAGGTATCTGAGGATTGGACACATGCTGGGGGTGGGGTTAACTAGAAAAGTAGGTCACATGGATAAACGAGGTAACTTTTTTGGAGTATTTTCGTTCTGTAACCACTTTTTCCTTCCTGAGGATATACCTCCCTTTCTGACCAGGCCATTGTTTGAGTTACCTTAACTGACAATTGCGCGGTCATGCAACGCTGCACCCAAATGAAATTTACGTCCTTTCCCCCCCCCCCCACGAATTGAGCTTTCTTTTGGTGGTATTTGTTCGCCTGTGCGTTGTTTTTTTTTTTTATTTTTTGCGCTATAAAAAACAATGACCGACAATTTTGAGAAAAAAATAATATCGACTTTTTGCTATTAACTGTCTCCTGCCCGCCATATAGTACAATGGCGGGTGCAAGGCGGTTCTCTCCTTCTGGGAGGACATCATATGACGTCCTTGCATTCTAACCGCGCATGTGCAGCGCGGCAATCGACGGTGCGCTGTGTGCCTCGGGCACAGTGGATCACCGATCAACGGAAAGAGCCGAAGATGTCGGCTCGGTCATGTGATCAGCTGTGTCCAATCACCGATGATCACATGTAAACAGGGAAATGCCAGTTATCGGCATTTCTCTCCTCACGAGCTGTCACGCTGACAGAGGAGAGGAGAGGAGAGCCGGTAATCGGCAGTCCGCGGGGGGGACATCACCAAGTGCAATGCACAGCACCGGATGCAGTGGTGTAAAGCATGTCATCACTGGACTCTAGAGCAGTGGAGATGTGTTCTCTGGAGTGGCGAATCATGCTTCTCTGTCTGGCAATCCGATGGACGTGTCTGGGTTTGGTGGTTGCCAGGAGAACGGAACTTTCCTGACTGCATTGTGCCAAGTATAAAGTTTGGTGGAGGGAGGATTATGGTGTGGGGTTGTTTATCAGAGGTTGGGCTTGGCCCCTTAGTTCCAGTGAAGGGAACTCCTAAAGTGTCAGCATACCAAGACATTTTGGATGATTTCATGCTCCCAACTTTCTTTGAACAGTTCAGGGATGGCCCCTTCCTGTTCCAACTTGACTGTTCACCAGTGCACAAAGCAAGGTCCATAAAGCCATGGATGAACTAGTTTACATAGTTACATAGTTTGGCTGAAAAAACACTAAAGTCCATCCAGTTCAACCATAAAAAAAAGTAATAATCCTACACCCACAGTTGATCCAGAGGAAGGCAAAAAAAATCAGCAAAGCATGATCCAATTTGCTCCTGCAGGGAAAAAAAATCCTTCCTGATCCCCCCGAGAGGCAATCAGATATTCCCTGGATCAACTTTATCTATAAATGTTAGTATCCAGTTATATTCTGTGTATCTAAGAAAGAATCCAGGCCTTTTTTAAACCAATCCACTGAGCTGGCCAGAACCAACTCTTGAGGGAGTCTATTCCACATTTTCACAGCTCTTACTGTGAAGAAACCTTTCCATATTTGGAGAGTACATTTCTTTTCCTCCAGATGTAAAGAGTGCCCCCCTTGTCCTCTGTGATGACCTCAGGGTGAAGAACTCTACACCGAATTCACTATATGAACCACTGATGTATTTATACATGTTGATCATATCCCCCCTTAATCTCCTCTTCTCAAGAGAGAATAAATTCAGTTTCTCTAATCTTTCCTCATAGCTGAGCTCCTCCATGCCTCGTATCAGTTTGGTTGCCCTTCTCTGTACTTTCTCCAGTTCCCCAATGTTCTTTTTGTGAATTGGTGCCCAGAACTGAACTGCATATTCCAGATGAGGTGTTACTAATGATTTGTACAGGGATAAAATGATATCTCTCTCTCTGGAGTCTATACCTCTTTTACTACAAGAGAGGATTTTGCTCGCTTTAGAAACCGCAGCTTGGCATTGCATGCCATTATTAAGCTTGTGATCAGGGACAGACTGAAAACTCATGGGGCCCCGGGCAATAGGGGATCATGGGGCCCCTTTGTCCTTGCCCAAACTCAAAAAAGCCTATGAAAAAAAGGTACCAGGGGCATCTCATGGGGCCCCCTACTGACCCTGGGCCCTCGGGCAGTGCCCAAGTTTCCAAATGGTCAGTCCGCCCCTGCTTGTGATCTACCAGAACCCCCAGATCCTTCTCCACCATTGATTCCCCCATTGTACCCCCCCTAGTATGTATGATGCATGCATATTCTTAGCCCCCAAGTGCAGAACCTTACATTTATTAACATTAAACCTCATTTGCCACATACAGTAGTTGCCCAATTAAACAGTGCATTGAGGTCGGCTTGTAAGTTGCAGACATCCTGTAAGGACGTTATTCCACTGCACAGCTTGGTGTCATCTGCAAAGATTGAAATGGTATTTATAATCCCAGACCCTATACTGTTTATAAATATATTAAAAAGTAAGGGTCCCAACACTGAACCTTGGGGTACACCACTGACAACCCTAGACCATTCAGAGTATGAATCATTAACCACTACTCTCTGAATTTGTTCCTTTAGTCAGTTTTCTATCCATTTACATACAGATTTTTTCCAAGCCTGTAGACTGGTAAAGGTAATTACACATTAGCCATGTGTGGGGAACTGTGTCAAACGCTTTTTCAAAATCCAAGTATACCACGTCCCAGCCACCCCTCTGTCCAAGGTTTTGCTCACCTAATAAAAAGAAATCAGATTTGTTTGACAACTTCTGTCTTTCATGAATCCATGCCGTCTATTGCTTAGTCATCTATGTGGTCTTTTATTAAACTCTCCAGTATCTTCCCAACTATAGAAGTTAAACTAACAGGTCTATTATTACTTGGTAAAGATTTTGATCCCTTTTCAAATATAGGCACCACATTACGCCAATCCAGTGGTACTATGCCAGTCATTAACTACTTGATCTCCAAAGGATTTACCCCCCTTCCTGACCATGCCATTTTTTGCGTTACGGCACTGCATGATTTTGACAATTGCGCAGTCATGCAATGCTGCACCCAAATTAATGTCCTTTTTTCCCCACAAATGGAACTTTCTTTAGGTGATATTTGATCGCCTCTGCAGTTTTTATTGTTTGCACTACAAGCAAAAAAAGACAATTTTCAGGAAAAAAAAAAACAATATTTTTGCTTTTTGCTATTAACCACTAGCCTACAGGGCACTTATACCCCCTTCCTGCCCAGGCCAATTTTCCAGCTTTCATCACTGTTGCGCTTTGAATGACAATTGTGCGGTCATGCAACACTGTACCAATATGAAATTTTTATCATTTTTTTGTGACAGATAGAGCTTTTATTTTGGTGGTATTTAATCACCTCTGGGTTTTTTATTTTTTCTTAAACAAACCAAAAACCACTGAAATTTTGAGAAAAAAGTTTTTTCTTAGTTTTTGTTATAAAATTTTGTAAACAAGTGATTTTTCTCCTTCACTGATGTGTGCTAATGAGGCTGCAGTGATGGACACTGATAGGTGGCACTGATGAGGAGACACTGGTAGGTGGCACTGATGGGCATTGGTAGACATCACTGATGGGCACTGAAAGGCAGCACTCATATATGGCACTGTTAGGCGGCACTGACGGGCACTGATTGGAAGAACTGATAGGTGACATTGAAAGACAGCTCAGATGGGCACTGATATGTGGCATTGATGTGGCACTGATGGGCACTGGCAAGTGGCATGGATGAGCACTAAGAGCTGGCACTGATGGACACTGACAGGTGGCGCTGCTGGGGCTACACAGATCATCAAAGCACACTGATCATCAGTGCTCTAATGATCAGTGTACATGTCCTCTCCGAGGAAAGCCGATTACCGGCTCTCCTCTCCTCTGTCAGTGTGACAGCTCGTGGGGAGAGAAATGCTGACAACCGGCATTTCCCTGTGTACATGTGATCAGCTGTGATTGGACACAGCTGATCACATGACCGAGCTGACATCTTTGGCTCTTTCCGTGGATCGTGATCTGCTGTGTCCGAGGGACACAGCGCACCGCCGATCGCCACGCTGCACGCTCCGGGAGCCGCACAGTCACGGTTAGAATGGGAGGACATCATATGACGTCCTCCCAGAACGAGAGAAGCACCTTGCATCCGTCATATTACTATATGGCGGGCGGGAGGCGGTTAAACATGTCCAGTTAAAAAATTTTAAAAATCAACTTTTGTCATGAATTTAGGCCAAAATGTATTCTGCTACATGTGTTTGCTTAAATAAAATCCCAATACGTGTAAATGAATTGGTTTACGTGAAAGTTATATCGTCTACAAATGGCAGTATATATACTGGATTTTTTTTACATTTTTTTCTTCATACTAGTAATGGCAATGAGCGACTTATAGCGGGACTGCGGCAGGCACTCTGACACTGGCGGGGAACTGACTAACTGCCACTGACATCCCCAGTGACACTCATACAGTGAACAGTGCTAATAAAAAGCACTGGCGCTGTACTAATGACACTTGGCAAGAAGGGGTTAACATCTAGGGTGATCAAAGGGTTAACTGTGTGCTGTTTTACCAAGTGTGCTGTGTGTGTTTTACTATGTAAGCATGCTGCTTTGTATTGCTCTGCTATGTAGAGCAATACAAAGCAGCATGTTGGCGCTGATCGGGGAGAGATCTGTATTGTTTACATACAGACCTCTACCCTGACAGTGTTCCTCGGTGATCGCTGGGTGCTGGGAATCTCCAGCCGGGACCCAGTGATCGACAGCTGTAGCCGCCAATGTATATATACATGATTTTGCACAGCCCTGCCGCCATGTAGCAGTAGTTCTGCTATAGGGCAGCAGGGAAGCAGTTAAAAGAGTCCCTTAAAATTAGAAACAATGGCTTTGAAATAACAGTTGCTTAAGGACCCATGGGTGTATGCCATCCAGTTCATGTGCTTTATTCATCTTTATTCTGTCTAAAT